ATTTTGGTTACTATTCAAAATATAAGTGTTTCTTCAAAATTTTAAATTTATTTTTTCTAGAACATATTTAGAAACACTACCCTTTAAAAAATATATAAATTTTATGTATTAATTAAATTTCTCATATGAATATAGGTTTTTGACATTTTCGACATTTTTGACGGTGAGGTTTTTGACGTGACGGTTTAAACCATGGTTTAAACTGTCAAAAACTGTCACATGTCAAAAACCTGCCAACCCTGCCCTTGTTACTTGCTCCCTGTTAGTTCATAGTTTAAAAAATATGATTCTAATGAAAACATCACATTAGTTCTTAGCTGGTGTTCCAGCAAATTAAGTTCAATTACATTTTACCAACAAATTAAAATGTGTCTTAATTTCATACAAAATAGAAATCTCAAATTTAAATCTTTATCATTTCGTTTATATATAATATAAAAATATAAGGAAAATGAGAACAATTTTATATCAAACTAAACTTATGCACAGAAAATTATAATCATATAATAAAATCAAATGAATCATCATCAAATGCGAGAAAATTAATCATTTACAAAGAAAACAAGAGATAAGTGCATTATTTACAATTAAATAGTTCATAATAAGTACTCATGAATGAATCAGATTTTGAAAAAGTATGTAATCTATCATAAGAAAAAAATTTTATTCCAAAATTATAATACATATATGAATAACAATTTTACATAATAGATTAAATAGATCCTTTATAGAAAAAATATTTAATTAAAGAAAGCGATAAAATTAAAAATATTAACAAACATTTTCATGTAAAATCATTGTTTTCAACTAACTTAAAAATTTTAGTTCCTTAGAAATAATGAGGGAAATTATCGGAAAGAGCAACTTCCCTTGTGATAAAATAATAATAAAAAAAACAGAGAAACATTTTTCATTCTCAAAATAAGAAAATATTATTCAAAATATTACTTGGGCTTTAGTGCCTGGGCGATTTCTTCTCAGGATACTAGACGTATCAGCCATCTTCATGTTTATGGTACGATGCTTGTTAAAGATGAATTGATCGAGGATACGTTTTGTACTTTAAGAGATCATTTATGAGTTCTAGAGTATACTTAAACTAATGCAGCTATTTTATATTTTTAATTTCACTACATTATATTTAAATTAACATTCCATCCTTAAAATACAATTCACTAATCATATATTGAAAATAGTTACACATAATATTTAACTCATTTCATTTCAAGGGCTTCTATTTAGTTCTTAAACTCTACACCAGAGGTTTGAGTTAGTATTTTTAATATTATTTATCATATTTAGCCAATAAATGAACATAAAATGCATTGATAAAACAAAATTTATAGTCCATAAGATTTTTAAACGACAAAAATTGGTTTGTTTAAGTCAAATTTCGATAATATAAATTATTTTTTGCAGAAGTTGGCAACAAGAAGCATTTAGTTTTGAGATCGTTCTTTAGTTTTTTTTTCGTCTGTTATGTTTTGTGTTTGATCAAGTTTGAATTGACTGTTGTGTTTGCATTCTATTTAGGATAGAGATGTTTATATTAATTACCTTTATTTAATTAAAATAAAAATATTTTTCATAAGTAAATCTGTCATATAGCATTTATTTGTCAGTAAGTATGAAAATTAATTTTGCTATTACTTTTGTAGAACAGACTGCTGATGAAAGATTTGCTTATGAGATAAACTTAATTGCAGTCTAAGTTTTTCTGCCCCCTTTAAAAACTAATTTTTTCTTGTCTTTTGAATTTATTCTTTTCCTGATAGAAATTTATTTTGTCTTTTTAGGGTACTTTTTATGTGATGTCAAGTAAAATGGATACGAGCGAAAGTCCAGAAGATAAAGATGAATCGTTTTATTTTAAGTTAGATACCTTACCACCTGAAATTTTCTTACATATATGTTCATTTTTAAGTGCAAAATATGTTATTAATGTTTTAAGTCAAGTTTGTGAGAAGTTTAAAGATATTATAGAAAATGAATCAACATGGAGGATGAGAATTTTTGAATCATGGCCTAATCGTTATCCTCTTGTACCAGGTGTGTGAATGTTTTATCCTTTTTTCAGGTATAACTGTTGATGAAAAGTAGTATTTTTCTTCGCAGTTGCGCCCATACTTTTTGTGGAATATATCAAATTTTATTAATGTATATAAAAAATATAGGTATTTTCTGTTTATAAATAATTGAATAAAATTAAGTCAGTTTTAAATCAAAAACGATATTCTTATTTTGAATTATTTTCTGATTTCGTCAAAATAATACTTTTAAATAGCAAGCTATTTAAAAGCATTATCTTTGTTTACATTTGAAATTAAAATGTAAATTTATATTTAGTCTACAATAATATTATAATTGCTATGCTTTAAGCATTATAATGATAAACACAACTTTTTAAGTGAGAAATTTTACTCCAAACTGTTCCTTAGTATTTTTTTTCCAGATAAATTAACTACTTTTCATAATTTCTTCTTGTTTAACAGGACAATATTTAAAAACATATTGCACTGGTGGAAACAGTGTTTTTCATTAAAAACGCTGTCCTGAACTTAAAAGTGAGAAATTTTACTCCAAACTGCTCCTTAGTATTTTTTTCCTGATAAATTAACTACTTTTCATAATTTCTTCTTGATAACAGGACAATATTTAAAAACATATTGCACTGATGGAAACAGTGTTTTTCATTAAAAATGCTCTCCTGAACTTAAAAATGTAACTTAGCATTATATTCTCCCAAGCCCTTCAATCAGAGCCGGATTATACCTTTCGTAGGCCCTAGGCACAGCCGTTTTTGGGCCCTTCCCCCACTCCTCCCCTCTTTTCAAAATATATGCTAAAATTTTCTTGCATATTTTTTTTTACATTTTTATTAATATGGATTTTAATTTACAAATTTGTTTATTGAACTTTATCTGCAATTCGACAGCATAATACAAGATTTCGTTGAATCCAAAAATTGCAAAAAAGTAATATATTAGATCATAAGATTCTGCAAAATAATTTATTACCGAAAAATATTATATTTTTATTTGTATGTTCATAATTTTGTGCAAAATACACCTGTTGTTTTTAAAGCTAAATTATTTTCGCCGATAAATTTTTTTCTCACAAGTTTTTCGTAGGCCCTAGGCACGTGCCTATAGGTTAATCCGGCCCTGCCTTCAATATTTAAACTTTATCTCCTTTTCAAGAAAAGGATTTCATCAATTGATGGGAATGCATGATATGAACTTTTTTTGCTTTATTTCTCAGAAAAAGTAATACATCAAGTTTTTGGAGAAAGAAGTTTTTTTTCTATTCATTAATTAATTATTTTTTTTTCTAATTTTATAAACCTTTAAGGAAAATGATGTGAAAAAATAAAAAATAGAAACTCTTTGAACTGAGAAAATAGAATATATTACTGAAAACAATCTTATTACAAATATTATACAATACCAAGTTCTATTGCCAGAGATCCATTTATAAGGACCATTTATTTTCTGGACCATTTTTTTAAAATCAAAATAAACAAGACTTTTTACTTTTCTTAATTTTTTTTTTGCTGTGTTCTTTGTTAGAAAAAAGTATTAATTAAAATTAAAAAATATATTTTTCTTTAATTTTCTTCTTGCTGCTTTTCTGAAAGCTAAACATTTATTTATTCTGTCACAATAAGCACACTAAAAGAGTTGTTGAATATATAAGAACAGAATTTGTATTATTTGAAATAAATATAAATATTTGGTAAGAAGAGAAAATAAATATTTGGTAAGAAGAATAAATTATGAAAATTAGCTAAGTTGAATATTAATAGTTTTCAAAAAGAACATCAGCAGATAGGATTTGTTTCTTTTAGATTATAGATATTTTCCTTAAAAAATTACTGAATTTTGTTGCTCATTTTAGATTTTTATTTATGTTTTATTAAATGAGATAAATTTACTTTAGGAATTTTTAAATGACTCATTTTTTTGAAATTATTTTTGCTTTATTATCTGCACTGCTATTTCTAAACATTATAATAGAAAAAGAAAAGGAAAAACCTATCTTTATTCATAAAAGAGAAAGTTCAAATTATCATCTTCTCACCTTTATTTTTTTTAATAATATATTTTATCATACTAAGCATTCTTTAGTTATTTAAATGTTATTCAGTCTATAAGAAACCATTGTTCTATGAAATTTATATTAATTATCATTATTTTTCTCTTCATTATTTTTTATTGAATAACGCATGTTTTGATGTTTATTTAGCTTCAGCACCTATTATCCATAAAAGTTTATTTTCCGGACTTGCCAAAGTCCCTATGAATCCGGATATGGGACTCTTTACTGTATTGTATTATTTAAAATTTGAATTCTCTATTTATTTATTACATAATAAATGGATGGAAAAATTTTCATCTTTATAAAATCTTCATTTTAAATAAAAATAATCTTTATAAAATCTTCATTCAATTTTTAAAAAAAAAAAAATTTATATTTTTCAAAAAGGTAAAGTAAAAAACAATTTTAAAATATTTATAGCTATAGCGATAAATTTTTTAAAAAAGTAGGTCATTTAAGTTTTAATGTGTGTTGTCAATAATCAAAAAAAATTTTATAAAATCTATCTTTATTAATATTATTTAGACCAGAAAAAAAGTATGGATAAAATTATTGTGGTCCTTGTAGATAATTAAATATTCTGACGTAAATACTGTTTTTAAGCAACTAAATTTATTAAAATATGTTCTTAAAAATAATTTTGTTTTTTAGCTCCAGCCGACTTTGATTGGAAAGAAGCTTGTATAGAGAGAGAAGACCATTATGATCTTTGGAAAAACAAAGCAGAGAATATGCATTTATATCATTTGAAAGATGCTCATTTTGGATCTGTGAATGTTGTCAGTTTGCTTGAGGTATTTCAATATAATTTTTATTTTAACTGCTTATTTCTAAGTATTGTAGTTATTTAAAACTTGTAATTCCTTTCAGCATTATATTTTAGAGACTTAATTCTTAAATATTACAAATAGTTTCCGTTTCTTTTTAAAAAATAAATTTTAAAAGTTGTTTAAAACTTGATTGTTTTTTTAAATTTTGATATTAACTACCTATTTATTGACTTGTTTTGTCGAGAAATATCTATGTGTATCTATGAAAAATATCTATCCATGAGCATGTCCAGAGGTGATTGTGCTCCAGAAAAAATCGGGACTTCCGGATTTTTCCCTAACTGCGCTCAAGAAGTTTCCGGAAATCTTAGGTCCAGAAGTTTTAAGAAATCATCGATCACATTTATGTATAAAAATTCTTGTATATTTAATTTGAAATATTAGAACTAGGCCATGGCACAGAATAGATCAAGATGGCAAAAACTTATTGGGACGGCCTTGGCCTGTCATAGGCTGTAGTGCCTAAGAAGAAGAACTAGAATTTATACTAGGCATCTTTCATTTGTAAATATTTTTTCTGGTAGAATAATAAATGTGATTAGAGATAAAAATAAACTTATACATAATTATTCATTTAAATTATGCTGTATATAATTTATTTAGATTTCAATGTTTTGAAAATATCAATGATTTAAATTTATAAAGACATTATGCTTATTTAATGATTTTACTCAAGAAATTTTCCGGATTTTTGAGTTGGACTCACAATCACCCCTGCATATCTATTTGTCTCACTCCGAGGGAGGAATCAGAATACTCTTATTTGTTAGAAAATCATTTAAAAGAGCACTTAAAAAGTAATATTAAGTAAAAGTAAATAAAAAAATATTTATATTATTAAAATTTTAGAAACATCTCCCTACTCAATATTCTAAAAGATGAAATCTATTAATATCTCTGCATTACTTTTAGGGTCAGGCTTGTTTTTTTGTTTAAGTTAACTCCATAGCTGTTGAAAGATGAGAATATTATGTTAACTTTTAGTCTGTATGAAAACTTTATTTCTACTCATGCTTGAAAGATTACAGGGTCAACAGGAAAAAAACAACTTTGTTTGGTTTCAGACTTTTATTTAAAACCTGGTTTTGTAATATAATTGATATTTTGATTAAATATTTATTTAAATAAATATTCTATCCTTTTTTAAAAAATATATTTAGACTTAATAAATTTGATACTGTTTTATGTCGCAGATATATCAAAAATTAATTTTTGCTTTTTTTTAAAAATTAATATTAAGACTGTTTAAATTGTAAATCTATTGTTGTACATAGTAAATCATTTACTGTGCAATCTAATTTAAAAGACAAATTCTTTTTTTTTTCAATTTGTGCTGTGTGATTTCGAATTTGAGTTGTGTAATACTGTGTATCTAATTTTTTTTATGTTTATAATTATAACTAAAGACTTTTGTTAAATTTCAGGAAGGTTCGATGTGTGCATCTGGGGGGAGAGATGGCGCTTTAAAATTATGGAGTATTTCAAGTTTAGAAGAAGAGACAAACCCTCGTGATTATCTTTCTTGTCTCATAAATTCAACTACTGGAGCTCATGGTAGTGTAAGTTACAATGAGGTTTTAATGTCAGATCTTGTGTGTACACAAATTGTATTTGCAGAACAATTCTGATGCAGCTCAAAGTCATACTTTAGTTGAGTTCTATACTAATACTGTATAGTTTTCAAAGTCTTAGTACATAAAGTAACTTTTTGTATTTTCTAGTTAATACTATATTTTGGTCTTCTAGTGGCCAATATTGCATTTATTAAGATTTTTGATATGCTTATTTTATATGTTACTCTAAATAGAGATGTTTTTGGCTGTGACAGTGTCATTCTGTGTAACTGATATGATTACTGTGAATGTGATGTATATGATACATTTTGACTGAAAAATATTCATTCTTTCATCTGAATTGCCAAAAATCAGAGCCTTTATATCAAAGGATTAAAACAAATTAATTTACAAAATCACAAAAAAGATGCTTTAACTATTCTGAGTAATAATACAGAAGTCAAAATAATCATTTCAAATAAGAATAGCTGAAAGTGGGGGGGTGTCAATGATTTATTATTATGATTATAATAGGTTGTGAATTGGGAGAATAAAAATAAAATCTTTCTTATTAAATTTTTTAAAAGTTTTGAAAAAACTTATTGTAATGTTTTTTAATGGTCTAATAATAACTTTTAAAAAGATAAATTAGAGAGGTGATTTACTGTTAGAATGCATTTGTGATAAGTATAAACCTTTTATTTCCTTATCAGTATGAGTTTCATATGGCATTGCATATAATTTATTGCAATCTTTAACTGCATTATTTGATACCAAAGAAGCATAAATACAGCGAATTTGTTTTGTCCTCTATTAAACAAGTAAATAAATTATTAATTATTTTAACAAGCATAAATTATGATTTGAAAACATTTAGCAAAATATGTATCAATAGAATGAAGCTGAAAGTGTTTTCACTAGTGCATACAAAAATCTATCAACTTAAATCCTAATAAGGAAAAAATACATATTAGTTGAATTTCAAATCTCTTTTTTTTTATTATTATTATTTGTAGTCAGTTTCAAAGACTTCACAATATGTTGTTGGATGTGGTTAATATTTTGACTACTACTTTTTTTTATACTCTTTTACGAGTTAGGAAAAAACCATCATCTCTATGGAGAGAGCCTGTTTCAATCTAAGTGCATGCCATATGGATGTCAAGCTCCCAGCACGAATGAATATCAACATCATCAATTCTTTAAACAACGTTACCCAGCCTACTTTTTGCTTGCTTTCTTAAATTGTGCAAAATGAGAAAACCTAAACTTATTAAATAATCAATTATCAAGTAATGAGAATTAATGAAATGATATCTAAAAATCATTACAATTGCTCATTAAAATTGCTGTTCATATAATAAATATCTTTAAGTTAGTGTAATCTTTAAATTATTTTATGTGTACATTTATTTAAATGTTTATGAACTCTTATTACATAAACCCTTAATGATTGTGAAATAATTATCTTCAATTTATTTTAGGCTTGGCTTTGGTCATTAACGTATGACAAATCAAATAAAACATTGTACAGTGGTGGATTTGATTGCAACATAAAAACTTGGGATTTAGAGAATCCATCTGTTGTACTTAGTACTCATAGGTATCTGTTTCTATTTGTATGCATTACTACAGTTTTTTTTTTCAGACTTTCTTAAGATATCTGTTTTATTTGTTGACTAATTCACTTGCTGTAAACAATTAAACAACTTCTGTGTAAAAACAAATCCCTTTCTAATGCGGTAATACTGTTTTTCTTCTAAATTGGCTTTGTGCAATTATCATGCTTACCGCTTATAAAAATCTAAATTGTTCTGAGAACTCTTGATTTTAAAAAATACCTCTCATTTTAATAAATCTACAGTTTTAAGTACCAAAAAGACTTTAACATTTTAAATTTGAACTTCATACTTTGTAATAAAAAATAACTTTGACAAAGTAAAAAATTTATTGCGAGCAGCTGCAAACTTATTTTGGAACATGTTATGATTCCATGGTCTTAAAAGCTTTTTGGCATCCAAAAATTAACCTTTCGACAGAATTCTGCTTTAGCACACAGAGCTAAATATGCTCTAGAAACTAGAAAAAGGCACATATTCTATACTTTCTTAAATCAGAAGAATGCCCACTTTATCCTTCATACTTATACCTATCTCTATTTGTTGGTCCTTAGAGACAAGAGTTAGGTCTACTCCTGTTAACCTGAGTTGGCCGTTGATTACAGTAATCGATTACAACTGTAATTGATTACAGATAATTACAGCTATGTAATCAATTACTTGTAATCACGATTACAAGTAATCAATTACTTGTAATCGTGATTACAACTTTCAAAAAATTTTGATTACAGCTGTAATCATGATTACAATTTTGATTACAGTAATCAATTACTTGTAATCACGATTACAAGTAATCAATTACTTGTAATCGTGATTACAACTTTCAAAAAATTTTGATTACAGCTGTAATCATGATTACAATTTTGATTACAGTAATCAATTACTTGTAATCACGATTACAAGTAATCAATTACTTGTAATCGTGATTACAACTTTCAAAAAATTTTGATTACAGCTGTAATCATGATTACAATTTTGATTACAGTAATCAATTACTTGTAATCATGATTACAAGTAATTGCGATTACAAGTAATCACAACAAAAACGATTACAAGTAATTATGATTACAAGTAATCAAAATATATGATTACATGTAATCATGATTACATGTAATTTGATTACATGTAATTGTGATTACTTGTAATCAAACTATACGATTACAAGTTATTACGATTGTATACTATAGTCAAATTTTTTATGTAAGTATTCATGTGTTTACATATTTTTATGTACATAGAATGTACGCACGCATGAACGTACAATTTGCGATTCCTATACATACAATGTATGCACAAACGTTGTTTGTACGTACAATATTCATAATTATATTGTAATATACTTAATGCAATGCGCATATGCTTAGTACATATAATTATGCATTTATGATACATGTACGCATGTATGTTAGTTTGTACAAAAAGGCAATGTTTTGTATCTTTGTATACATAGACAATGTATGTATGAACGTATATGAAAATAATGTTTATGCGTTTGCATGCTTTTATGTACTTAAGTGCATATATTGTATAAATTTACGATAATAGCACGTATATACAATGTACGTTTGTATATAAAATTGTACGTATTTGCGTACAATATGTAAAAATGTTATTTAAAGGTACAATATATGCACATAGTTGCGTAAATAAAATGCGTACATGTATACATGCATATTTATATGTACATCGATATATGTGCACGCAAAGTATGTACTTATGTACAACTTACGTATGTACTTGTATAACTACATACTTTGTTAATACTTATGCGCATGTAATGCATGGATGTACAAAAAAATAGTTATATGCACAATGTATGCATGTGCATACAACGTATACATGTACATAATTACAAGTAATGTACAAATACGTGCGTACATTTAAATATATGTAATTACAATATACACATACATTGTGCATACATTAAAAAAATTTATATGAGTAAAGTTATTAAAATTTGTTTTAAAATTATTCTAAGGTATATGAAACTCGACCTCATATTTTTTAGAAAGCAAACGATAATTTTATTTGGAATTTCTAAATATTAATTCCACACATAAAATTTACCGTTTTTCTTACCATTTAAAAAATTTCTATGAATCATGCATTATGTTATAAAAAAAATAAATCTGTATTGTCAAACATTTCATGAAAATACCTGAAAATAATTTTTTATTCAGAGAATTTCAAAATGATATAGAACAATTAAAGCTGAAAACTAAATTTAAATATCGTTTGATTTTGTCATTTAACTTGCTTGAGTCATTAAAAGTTAACTTACATGCATTTTATTTATTGCATTGTACACATATTTAGACATAAATGTAATGTACATATGTATACGTGTAATGTATGTACGCATGTACAATGTATGTACATACATTCATGTATTGTACGTGCATATATAGTACATATGGATATGCATACATGGAACATACGTGTATTGTACATGTGTGGATACATTCATTGTACATATATACATTGCACCATATGCATAGATAGGGATAGCATGCATGTACACATGTAAAATTTGTACGAAAGAATTATGCCCAATATATTTATGCACATACGTACTGTATATGTACACACATATGTACATTATATGAACATTATATGTTCATTTCATCATATGTACATTATATGAATATACATCTGTACGCTATATGTATATACATCTGTACGCTATATGTATATACATCTGTACAATATATGCATCTCAAATGTGTGTATGTACGTACGTTATGCATGTCGAATGCATGTATGAATATATGTGAAATATAAATACGCCCAATGTACGTACAATAGTTCACAAATGTATTATGCATATTTGGATACTTACATTGAGCATGAACATATTATGTACATGTACATAAATACACTGGACATGCATATCATGTACATGTATACATACATATATTGTACATCCTACAGATATACCTATATTGTACATGCATACATATATTGTACTGTTCATAAATAAATTGCACATACATGCATGGGACATACATTGTACAGACAATGTATGTATGTTCGTACAAACACAAGTACTTGTATATACATGCGTACATGAACATAGATATACATTTTACATACACAAATATTTGCATAAAATGCATATATTCATTGTGTATAAATGTACATGCCTACATTGTTTGCACATACATACGTAATTATTATCTATATACATACGTACATATATTTTATACCTACAATATAAGTGTATGTACATGTGTGTGATACTAAAATGTCTGAACATATGCACTAGATAAAATCATATGTACATACATTTCAGTTACATTCATTTGTACGTATACAAATACGTACAAAATGCAGTACATGTTAATACGTGCAAAATGTATCATTATAAAATACATTCTACTATCTACTGTAAAATATAATCATTTATAAGAATACAATAGTCTTGTAATCGTGTAATTAGATTACATGTAATCATAATTACATGTAATCAAATTACATGTAATCAAATTACATGTAATCATATATTTTGATTACTTGTAATCATAATTACTTGTAATCGTTTTTGTTGTGATTACTTGTAATCGCAATTACTTGGAATCATGATTACAAGTAATTGATTACTGTAATCAATATTGTAATCATGATTACAGCTGTAATCAAAATATTTGAAAATTGTAATCATGATTACAAGTAATTGATTACTGTAATCAAAAAATGTAATCGATTACATTTTTGGCCAACTCTGCTGTTAACACACATGTTTCTAAAGCTTGAATAAAATTCCATATTAATTTTTATTTCACCTGTTTTTATTTATGTTTGCCAATTTAATGAAGTAAGTGCTTGTTTGATTTTCACAAAGGTATTTAAGAAATTGGCCCATTCTTATTTGAGTTAATTTTAAAAGTTCGTGAATGTTTGCTCACCTATATGTTACCTGAACTTTTTTTTTTTTTTTGGCATAAAGTATCATGAACAGAACAAACCTATTTATTAAAAGAAAACTTTTCTTAACACCCAAAGGGATACAAATCAGTCCTGTATGTATAAAAAAGGATATTGAATACCTTCTTTAATTTATTTTCATTATATTCCAGCTCCTTTTATCTCTCTATTGATTGTTTAACTATAATCTTTTAATGTCACCAAGAAATGCTAACACCTTTATCCTCGTTCCTCTTATTTCTTGGTTACTGAAACTTCTTAGCTCCTGTTTATAAATTAAAAGAAGAAAATTTTGAATTATAGAGGATATAATGGACCAAGAAATAAAAGTCTGATCTTTTTATTTGTAGATATTATTTATAAAAAGCTGACAGAGATTTGTTGAAGGATGGCTTTGAAAGTGACTTATGTTATAATCTAGTGACTCTATTCGAAGCTAAAAAACAAGTTCAGTTACCATGTTTTTCATACCGGGCTGAATTGGCATTTACTTACTGCATAAATATTAATTGTGTTAGTGCAGTGTGTTGTAAATTTCAGCCTTTTTCTAAAAACATTTATTGTTCATATTATTTGAAGAGGATTGGTGGAAAAAGAAGCTCAGTTCATGTGTTTATCTTGTTCTAAACACAGTTTTGGCAGTATAAAGCTAATAAAATTAAAAGTCTATCAAATTGTTGGAAAAAAAATCTTTAAGTATTTTAAACTCATTTTTATTGCATTTTTTAGTTTATTTTCTTTTTTATCTATTTATTCTTAATTTATTTATTTGTTTTATTTTTAATTGTTAAAAAATTAGTCAAAGTCTGTTTTATCCTATCTGGAATCAGTTTTTCCATTAAAGAAATTTTGCTAAAAAAATTTCTTAATTTCTTAAAATTTCTTTAAAAAAAAGTTTGTTTTTTTTAATTTTCAAAAAGTCTAATTTGCCTTATAAATAAAGTAAAAAATGTGCCTTAATTAATAGAAACTTCGTTTTTAAACCCACAAAGCCAGCAGCATTAGTTCAATTTTATAAATAATTAGTCACTTGCCATATCAGCCATTAATCATTCTCTGGAGTATTTACCATGAAAATTTTGAGTGAAAATAAAAATTTCTAAAAATTATTTTCAATGCATGGATGCTTTTCTTAATTATTATTTAAAGCTCTAAGCTTCATTTTCATGTAATTTTCATTTTATTGACAAAAAAATTATTCTTAATTTTTTAAATTTTCTTATTTTAGTCTTTCATCCCCTATTTTGTGTCTGGCATACTCTGACAATAATTTAACATCTGGATGCTATGGACGTAGTGTAAGCCTATTCGATCCCAGAACTAATCTTCAACCAGTTTGGCAGCATATACATCATCAAAGACCAGTTATCTGTATAGTTACTGATGATAAGCATGTAATATCTGGAAGTGAAGACAAGAGTATTATTGTGTATGACAAATCAGCTCGTAAAGTTTTGAAGACCATAAATGTAAGTAATGTATATTAAACTTTTTATTATGTGACAATTTCAAAAAACAATTTCTTACATTTTCAGTTTATTTCAAATTACTAAGTAGACATGGTGCATGGTGTTTTTTAAAAGTGCTTAAAGGTGCTTATTTTCGATTTTCATTATTTAAAAGCCCTTAAAAGTGCTTTGCCCATTGGGTGTTTTTAATAAGTGCTTAATTTTTCCTTTTCGAAAATGAGAAATTTTTTCTTTACAATGTCGATTTAAGCCACTTATTGTGCAAAACCGTGCTTTTCACATTGTTCTATTTAACATTATTTGCAATTCATTCAGCAATCTATTTCAACGTACCATTGGCCCATAGCATATGAAAGCACCAATCATTTTACATGTTTGATGAAATACTTTTGAGTCCGTATGTGCTTCTACTGAACTGATTTCGGTGAGGTTATTGCCTTCTCGCGTGTAACTCTGGTGCATTTTACAAGATATTCTCAATTTCAGACTTCATTTCCCACCCTCTGATATCGAACCGAAAAATCTCTTGATCATTTTATAATAGCTAATATAATCAAGAAAAGAGTTCTTTGTCAGAAACTGGTTATTTTCTCATGATCATCTAAGTCTTTGAAAATTAATTTTGCAATTTTTTTTAATGTATATAGTGAAAAATATTTTTTGAGTGCTTAAAAAGTACTTAAAAGGTGCTTATTTTTTGTTGAAAGATTTGGTTACGCACCCTGGTAGATTTAAAGGACTATTTTTTCAAAATATCAGTCATTGGGTATAAAGTAAAAAAGACAGAGAAAAAGAGTAAAGAGGGTTATTATTATTATTTTGAACTTACATGGTTTTATTGTTAAAGTAAGCTTTAAAAATAACATTTACTCTAAAATCTAATTAAGAAAACTTAAATAAGCATTTAAAATTATTAAGTTTTTGTTCTTACAGTGTAAAATTAACTATCTAATTCCTGTTGATCCATAAATCAGTTTCTCATTGCAGCAGCAGCAGGTATCTAGCTATACATAAGCTTATTTTATTAGTGGCACATCAACAAACGACATTGTTAAAACATTGTAATGACATATTAGGAATATTAAATAGATTCATATATCTTGATTGTCATTAGCATAAAAATAATTAAAAGTTTTAAAAGTGCCAGGTAAAGGTAGGTTAATAAAGAAATAATTTGACTATCACAAGCATTTAATGAGCATGAATCAGATGTTACCCAATACCCGCTCTTCTTTTTTTTAGAACTTTGTGTATATTGTATTTATTGTAAACACTATTTTGTGATTCAAAGATACTGGGGAAAAAGTTACAAATATGTTTCTTGTTAAATTAACGGTTTAAGCTTTATGTTCTTCTATCCATTAAACATGTTTGCTTTTGTTCTTTGTCTTTATGTTCTTCTATTCATTATGCATGTTTCTAAAATTCATTAAACGTGTTTGCTTTTTTGAGTTCTCATCATTTTTCAAACCAAAGTCACACTAACAAACTTGCACAAAGAACTTCCTGACTTTTGAAAGCTTTTGACTAATTAATTTTTTTCTAATATTGTTCTGTTATAGAATATTCAATGTAAGTTCAATTCAATGTAAAACAAATTAAAAATAAGAATGTAAAAAAACTTAAATTGAAACTCAGATTATAAAGATATAAATATACTTTTGACTATGTATAAATTATTGGTATTGCATAATTAATAATATTATAATGTTAAATTTTTAATCGTGTATGTTTAAAAATAATGTTTTATGCTAATGTTTTTCATTTTTTCCAGCTTGAAGGTTTTCCTCTATCAATGTCATACGAATATGGACAGCTACTTGTTGGTGATGTTTTAGGCTCTATCCATGTCATTGATCCTGTCAGTGGAAATTTTGATCTATTGAAAGTAGGTTATTCTTCATTAATTTTATTACTCTGTTTTTTATTAACACTTTTTTTTATGTATGTAAGAGTCGATTTGCACACACCCTAACTAGGCTTGCTTAAATTTCTACTGTAACTTTGGGGCTGATGACTATGCAAGTTTCAATCATTTCCCGATTGCTTCTTGTTAGATGTATTTTATTTTATGACCGCCGTTGAATAGTCGACCCAATTTTTGGGTTTACGACTACTAATGTTCAACTCCGTAGCCTTGTAATTTTGAACCAATCCAGAAGACAAGGAAACTCCTGGATCGGTACCCCCAGAGGTATTGATTTGTTATGGGAACGTGGAGGACTTTGAGACTCGACAGATTTAACGTGCATCAGTTACCATTTACTACACGGGGAGTCTTCGACCGGCGGGGACCGAACCCACGAACTCTTGGACATGGGCCCGGCACCCCACTGACCTGGCTATCCCGGCCTAGTAGCGACAATTTAATTTTACATAGATAAACTAGCAGCGTTACATTACAGACTCAAAGGATGGAATGTTAGATGTATTGTGATATTGTGAAAATGTATTGTCAATCTTATTTACAACCACTTTCTCATTAGTTAGAGCACTCTAATTTTAAATTGAGCTTTGTGCTAGTTGAAAATACAAGTTTCAAATGTTTTCTAACTGCAACAAGAATTTAGCATCATTTTGTTACTAAATAAAATTTATTCTCACTCAAACTTTTGCTCACTTTCTATTTGAAAGTAGAGTGATTTAATCTCCCTAGGAAACACTGTTCACAATACATGTTTCAATCATTTTCTGATGGCTACAAGCAGAAAATTTCTGTACTCAAGTTTTTAACTACTTTCAAACTAATTAGAGTGTTCAAATTTCAACAATAAATACAATATGTTGTAATATTTTAATTTCTAACAAAATTTATTTTAAAAGCACTTTTTGTCTATTTTTCAACAAGTTTAAACTAATGGGCACAAGACTAAAAAGAGAATATTACATTAAAATTCAAATTTTAAAAACTGCATTTTTCAAGTAGACTAAAAAAGAGAAAATAATTCTATTTCATTAAACCTAAAATGAAGAATGTATAATTTTATGATAACTTCTATCACCACCAAAAAATATCTCCACTTTTTTTCGAAAGTGATAGAACTTTTATTTTTGTTTATGGATGTGACAGAAAATGTAACTATTTTCTCCTTTTAAAACAACATGAAAAACATAGTGTTTAAAAATTTTATTTGCTATAGTTTCTTATTCTTTATTATTTTAGTGTGCTGATATATTTTTCTCATAGCTTATTTTTATCATGGTTATTCTTATGGTAAATAAGATTCAGTAAAGAAATCCCTATAAAAATTTTAAGTTTTTAGTAAAATATTAATTCCTTTAAAGAATTAGAAAAATTTGAGATTTTTAATAATGGTAAATTTATCTTTTAATTTTGTATATCTAAATGTGATCTGAAGCAGCACTCACAATAATATCTTTATAAATTTCCTTATTGTCTTGCTGCTTTACAATTTTTTGTTTGATATCTTGCTTAATTTTTCATTATTTTATTTGAGTGTAAAAATGTCCTTTCTTTTTTCTTTAATAGAGTTACGAAAGTGGTCACAAAACAAAAATAACTGGAATTCAACATTCTTTAGGATCAGTTATGACATGTTCAACTGATAAAACTATTCGAGTTTTGGAACCTAGTGAAAATCCATCTATAATTACGGTTTTAAATGTTGGCTCAGAAGTATCCAAAGTATGTACAAATAACATAAAGCATTATTACCTATCTACAAATAATGTTGTTAAAGTTTGATTAAATCATATTTTAAAAATTATTTTGTTTTTCAAAATTATTTATTTTAAGTCCAATTAGTATTCGATTTTATAATACAGCTCTGATAATGCACATTTATTTAGCAATCTTTGTTTAAAAAATAAACAAGTTTTGTTTTGTATTTTAGCTATTACAGAATTTATATATATATATGACGAGCTAAAGTAATGCACGCAAAATAATGAATTCCAGTAGAAATTTAAGATAACTAATATTTTTGAAATAATATTATATTTTTTAACTTATTGAATTATTATTGTTTTTATTTAATAGCAAAATAATTAGTTAATTTTTTCTTTCTTACTTCTTTTTCTAAAGTCTCTTTCAATTTAGATTTTTTTGAAATATTGTTATTTTTATGTTATGTTATTTTTTTGTGTTATACAAAATAAGAGAGATACATAAAAATTTAAAAAATGTAGAAATAATGCAGGCGAGTGTCACAAAGTTTGTATTTTATGGTTTTATCATGATTTAAAAGTCTTAATAATTAAGAATATTTTTACTCATTTTATTATCTGTATTTTACTCAAAAGAGATAGGAACATAATAATATTCAATACTAATATACTGTTATATATAATATACTGTCAATAATATACTGCCAATAATATACTGTTAGTAGAGAATCCGTTATCCAGAAATCAGAAAACCAGAACAAAATTCAACATATTTTCCCGCCATTTTTTAAAAAAAAAAAATTTTTTTAATTTTTCCTAATAAGATTTTAGGATTTTTCTGTCTTTTTTGAAAGATGTTTACCTTACCATCATTTTGGAAATAATCATTAGTGTCATCGTTTTTTCTTCTTTTTAAGATTATTTCCAAATATTAATTTTTTTAGTTGGGTTTAACAATAAAAAAAACGGCTTTTTGTAGTGATTCACAAAACCGGAAAAATCAGTTGTCCGGAATAGCAATGGTCCCGATCGTTCCGGATAATCGGTTCCCTACTGTAATATTCAATATTCTCTCAAACTTCATAACTGTTTTACTACATTTGAGTAAAGCATATGTTCCAAATTCTTAATTTTTCTCATTTAAAAAAAAAAAAAAAAAAATGATGCAGCGCTTTCTTAAAAAAAGTTACATATTTCAGTCAAATATTTTTGGGAAATTATTTAATATGTTCTTAATACATTTACATTACTTATTAGTAAAAACAGACAATAAAATTAGTTGAAACCAACAGTTTAGCTTAAAATTTTACAAAAAGTACCTTTTTGAGATATTAAGTAATATTATTTATATTTTCCACAGTAAAATATAATAAAAAACAACTTTGAGTAATTACAAATCCAAATGAAAAACTTGTTTTTTTTTTTCGTTCCATCCTGTTAGGTTCCATCTCATGCTAGACTTAAATATTTAACATCTAACCTGATATTAAAATAATATATAAATGTAAAAAAATAATTTAAATAATTTTCCAATTTGCAGACATATGGGGAAAGTTAGTCTGAAAAACCTTCTAGCATTTTTAATTTTTGCAAATATTAAAATTTCCATTAGTTACACAAATAAATAAATGTCTCATCTTTTGATGTAACTTTTTTTTAAAGTAAAGCACACTAAAATCAGCTAATAGGCTTTAATGGTTAAATTTGCATAATCATGCGATTTTTGTTCTATAAGTGTTGATTACTGTATATTCTATATATTTTTAAAAATCAATCTATGAAGTCTGAAGATAATGAGTGATTGACTACACCCAATACTCTTTTTATCAATAAAAAAAATCTGTGCAAAATAAAACTCTCGTTGTATGTAAGAAAATCTTGAAAAATATCTTGCTGAATGACAATGTAGGATTAAAAAGATGTATCAAAAAGGGATATCCAAATGTATAAGCAGTTTATTATTTAAAAAATATAACCATCTTGCTAATACCTCTTTTTATATTTTCTTTAGATATCTGCTTATAAAACAACATTAGCTAGTGCTAATACTGATGATTCCATTTCAATATGGTTACCTAAAGAAGAAGAAGAACTATGAAGTATTAATGTTCTTCTACTTATTATGACTGTTTTCTGAGTCTTTTTAACTGGTCTCACTTTTCCATAAAAACTTATTTCACTTATTTAACAATGTGTGAAAATCACACAAAATAATGAAAGAAATCGATGTTTTCTGTGTAACATTATTTCTTTCTGATACTTCCAATTTTATTTATCTAAAGTTTTTAAACACTGTGATTGTACAATTCTTTTGTACATTACTTATATAAATAATTCAAATCTATATTATTATTTAACATTTTTTTACACCTAGTTTGCTTATTGTGATATTTATATGCTTGAAGTTTGTGTTATAACTTTCATTTTTTATTTTAACATAGTTTACTCGAGGCAATATTTTAAGTGGTGGTCACTGTTTTGGATATACAAATAGTTATCTGTGATTCTCTAGTAAATAAATTTGGATCAATATATTTGGATTCAGAATAAACCTTACTTACGGATTGCAAAGCATGCAATTTTTGTTAATCATTTTTCAAAATTAATTATTAAAACAAAAATGAGTGGTTTCAAAATCACTAATAAAGAAACAATATTTTTAGTGTTTGTATCAATAATTTAAAAATTTTATGCATTTTACATTTTTTTAAATGATTCTTAGTTCAAAATGAAATGTGCTTTTTTTTTGTTGTAAAAATGGTTTGTTCTTTCCGGGAAAGATTTATTATACAGTAAAGCAATTTTTATATGTCTTTCAGAGAACCGATGTGGTTCGACGTATAAATTTTACAACCTATAACTGAAAAGTAAACAATAAATTGAAATTTTTCATAAAAATAATTCTAATAACTTACTAGCATTGTTAATTTTGCACTTAATATTATTAATATAAAAAACAATTGAGAAAGTAATTAAAATAAAACTTGTTATCTTTTAATAAAATTGTTTTACTATTGTTTTGATTTATAAAAATACTTGCAAATCTGTGCTCAGAGACATTTTACAAATGAAGTTCTTTTTGAAGAAAAAATGCAAACTGTATTGTCAGTACAAAACTGTATTGTCAGTTTTTCCTATTGTTGTGTTACTTTTTACTCTTCTGAAGTTGGAAGGAGAAATTCCTTTTCAGTACCTCACTTAGAAATTCTGGAATCCAGGCCAAATATTTATATACTTCACAAAAAAGGCAGGAAAAAACAACGCATAAATGATAATTTATGTTTGTACCTATTATATAAATGATAATTTATGTTTGTACCTATTATGTAAATGATAATTTATGTTTTATAAATGAACTATTTTAACATTGCTTTGAAAATGAAGTGGGACTGCAAGAGATGACACTTATACAAAAAACGTATAAAAAAAGACTTTACTGTATTTCAAAATTTCGTTGTTAAAAATGTTTTGTTTTACAAAAATGGATTAGACATTGTTTGTGAACGCAATTTAATAATTTTATTTTAACTAAATTTTTTTAACTTTTTTGTCGTAAGTTTCAAGTTTTACTTACAGAAACATATTTTTATTAGAGCATTATATATTTTTTTAAACATAAAATAAATACAAATGTACTTTACTTCAAGAAAAATGCTTATAAAATATAACTTTATGGTGCACATCTTTAAAGAATTTTATGTTCTACATTCCAGTCTTCAAGACTAAATATTTAATTTAATTCCCTGCTTTCTTGAGCATTTATTTGCATTTTATTATGTGTTGATAATAAACACTTTGTACTTGAAAATTTGATATAATTTATCTAAAATAAAGAATATTTATTTCCAGTTGTTTTATCCAATTTTTTTTAATGTTGGTTTACTTTGTTAGTTTAAATAAACAAGAAATTTTAATATAAAATATGTTTCCTTCCGTGAATTGTTATCAAATATGTAAATTTTTACTAAGAAAATCTATTTAATTACTCCATAAGTGTTAATGTATGAAAAAGTGATAGTTTGCTTTGGAATACTGAAACTTTTTTTCCCTTAGAATTTTATACTAATAAAGTGGTTAAATGAGCAATGATTGCAATTTTTTTTCTAAAAGGTTTTATTTTTTTAAATATAATCTCATGCAAAAAGCATCAAAGTTTTGTTGAATTGGTTATCTATTTTTTATTAATGCATTAGGTGTCCAACTATCCAATCTAATTTGGCAGAGAGATAGGACGGATAGCAAAAAAGCTGGAAAGGCTGCAGTTCCATTTCCTACCTCCTCTCCCATGTAATTAAAAATACATATTATACATCTTAAGATAAACGATTAACGCACAGAAACTTACTATTTATTAATAAACTACACAATACGAAAAATCATATCTAAAAAGATTCAAAACTATGCAGTTTTTGATATTTTTACCCTTGGCAGACTAATAGGAGAGGATTGACAGTAGAAAACTGCTTTAGTATATTTTTTACTCGACAAGATAGAATAAAGGCCGGATAATTATGAGACAGAAAATCAAGAGCCTACTGTATATAAAAAAAATTATTTAAAAAGCAATTGTGCAAATAGATTTTTTGTATAAAAAATTTTTTATACTTATTTCACCATTTTTTTTAATTGCACAATTAGAATTTATTAATTACCAAAAAAATTTAAGTTATAAAGTGTCAAGAGAGATCAATTTTCAATAACCTTTTAACTATCAAAATTCCAAAATAAATTGGTCAAATAATTTCCAAGAAATCATAGTTTGAAATTATTCTTAATTCTTATTAAAGGAAATATTTGACCATTTTATTTTATATTTTTACAACTATAATAGCTTAGCATGGTTACATAAGTTGTTTTAACTTAGTAATTAAAGAAGTATTCCCTCATTATTAAATTATAAAAATTCAGTTGTATATTTTATATTACTGGAATTTATATGAGAGCAAATAAATTTTATGTATTCTAATTTTTTTGAATTTTTTTTTAATAATAAATGAACAGTTTCTATACATTATTTAATAATGTATATATATATATAGTGTCTCTTAGGTTTACAATTTTTATATGTCAAAGGATTTTTACTTGTGTTCATGAAATAAAAATATTGATTGCTCCTAAAATATTTTTTGAAGAATCTCAAAAAACCCAGAATGTGTTTATTTTTGGATACCTAAATCCATATTTGTGGGAAAACTTAATCCAGAAATAGTGGTACCCTTTCCCACCAATTCCATTGATTGTTTTAAAAATTGGAATAAAAGGTTATACCTGTCGAGTTTTTAGATTTTTTTATTCAAAAATATATAATACTTAAGATTTTTCAAAAATTAGTATTTTAGAAATTCATATTTTGAGCATGGTTCGTATCCTTAATTTCTCCCTTTGTATTCTGCTACTAAAAAATTGAAAGGCATATTTGAAATTATATGTATTTAATTTTATTGCATAACAGAAATATTCATTCAAATATCACATTCAGTTACACAGCTGCCAACTGTTCCTTTAAATTGTGTTCTTAATTTTTTGCCTTATTCCGTAAGTATGATTTTAGGTAAAAATGTTTTGATTTTTCGGTTTTCCCGCGCCTTTTCACTCCTTATACTGAATTTCTTACGAATATCGCCATATTCCGCATATCTCAAAACCATTGGTTTGTGGACTTCCCTGAATCAAAAACTTATAATCTGGCAAAATTTTGAAACTTGTGCTAAATCCTGTTAACGAGACGTTTACAAATGTATGATTCTTTCGCGAAGTGGATTATTTTGGTTTGGCGAATTTTCGCCGTTTTGAATATTTGAAATCTGCTAATAATCGATTTTAGTATTTACCTGATTTTAAAATTGCGATTTGTATTCACGCGATTTAAAAATCGTACATCGCAATTCCTGTTCACTCAACTTAAAAATCTAATATCCAGTTGTGAAACCAGATGTTGCGATTAGTAACGGCACATATTTAAAACCCAATATTTCGATTCGTACTCAGCCGGTTGTAATATATAACATCGATTTTCGTATTTTAAAATCCAATATCGCGATTCTTGTATGAAATAAGTTTTTTCTTGAATTAGTTACTATAATGGCGTGATATTCTTCATTAGTAAGTAATTTAATTAAAAATGTTAGTTCAAGAAACTTATGTGAAGTATGAAACATGTATGGTTTATAAATTGATATCGAGTTTTTTACACAAAAAATGTTCAGGGTTTTTCCCTTTGTGTCACAATTACCCCAAATTGGCTTATGCGTTGTGTTCCTATTTTTGTTTTTAACAAGTTGGCAGCTATGCAGTTATGACTTGTGAATTATAAATAATGATTTGAAATTGGTACAATAAATCAACCAACAACAATCCTAGTAACTTCCCTTGATCCTTCCAGAATCATTGTTTCATTTAATGAACGAAGTGCTGATTTTATAGAAAATCTGTACAGAAATACTTGATGCAATGAACAGGAATGAAGGAAATCCCTGAATTTTTTCTCTTTGTTTCAGCTTTTACAGTTTTGAGTCCTAGTGTTTACTGTTCTTCAGTGAAGACTTCATTTCAAATTAGTAGCCTCTAATTATAAATATTTCATAGTTATTAAAATTTTTATATCGTTAATGTTTTTTTAGTGTTAGTTTATAATTTGATTCAGTATTTTCTTAATCTCTATTCTAAGTTAAAATGCCTCATTTTTGCTTTTAAAATTTGTGTGATGTCCGATTATTTTAGGATAACTCTTGTTTGAACCATCATTTTGAATGTTTTATTCAAGTATTTGTTTCAAAGTTGAATCCATGATATTGCTACAATCTCTTCAAAGATCTATTCCGTTGTGGTTCATTCATTTTTACTTCCGAAGTCTGAACTTTGAGACAACAGTTAACGATGTCGTATATCGTTAACGGTCGAATCACGATTGGTCTTTTAATTATAAAGAGCATAGTGACTTCTGTAGACTTTTTTACTTCTTCAAACCTCCCGATCGCTGTTGCAAGGAACATCTCACGTGGGAGGACCTGGCGAGTCTTAATTTTTAAGCCTTTTTATGCAAGACTTGTCTTCACTTTTATCTTCAGCTCTTGAGTAGTGGTCACTTCTTATCTCTAGTCTTTGTATGAAAAGTTTGGCGTTGTAATGGATCTAATGAAGGCGCTAACTGGGAATCTTTTTGAAGTGTACTATCTCCCTGAACTTGAAATGGAACATCTATTCGAATTTCGGGTGAGGTTGGCGACGAAATGTCTAATTTTGGGGAACGTTTTGGACTACTACCTAAAGATTTACCAGGTTTTATTGATGATTTTGGTAACGATGTACTTCGCGCAACTTTAGAAGAGCTAGGAATGTCGAAAGGTTTAGTTGGCGAAGAATCTGGTGTTCCTGGTGTTGTGGTTTTGAGAGAAATACCTGCAATATATTTCGTTGGTCTTACGCCTATCTTTGCTGCTAAACTGAGGGTTTCTGGTCTTTTTCGTGGAGGTGGAGATTTTCTTCTAAACGGCAATTTCTTCGGCCTTTCTTCTTCAGATACCAAAGTTTCTATTGGTATTATTATTTTTAGCGGTGTATCTGGAGGTTTACTTTTTGAGTGCTGATCTGGTGCTTCTGCTAGTATATTCCAATCGTCAACTGTTTTGACTTTTTCTGTCCTTATTGGTTTCATTAGAGGAGCTTGTTCTTTAGTATGAACTTCACCTTTAGGATCACTATGGACATCAACGGGATGGTTATTGGAATGACTAGAACCGGCTGATGTTGCTAAGTCTAAACGTTCTGGAGATTTTTGATCATAACTTGTTAAAGTAATTTGGGGTAAAGTGTTCTTTGTGTAAGATTCTGCGTCTAAATCCTGATTTTTTTCTAATTTTGTCGTTATCCTTTCTTTGCTTTCTTTTGGCATTAGAGATGTTTTTCTTTTTTTCCGAGTTTTGCGCTGTTTACCTTTCATTTTTGCTTCTGATATCTTTCTTAAAGTAGATATTATAATTGGATCATGAATGTATGGAACAGTTGAATCTGTTTGTAGTATATTTGGTAAGCTACTTGATCTAACAAGTGTTGGACGAAGTCTTCTAAATTTAGTTATGCTATCTTCTTCTGAACCTGATCTAATTAAACTAGTCTGCCTAACTATCATAGCTTTACCTGCTGCAAGTCTCTTTTCTGTTACAAGACTTTGTTGTGTGTAGTAATAAGGATGAGTTCCTGTTTCCTTTTCAGCTTCTGTAAGTTCAGGTGTAGATAAAGTAATTGCTACTTCTACTGGTATCTCGTAGTCCTCATCCAACATTTTTAGTGTCTCCTCATCTTTAGTGTCCCCACTAAAACGAACCTCTTTTACTTTATAAAAGGGAATAGCTGTAGAAAGTTTTCTTTTTCGAAACATACTCTTTAATTTTTCTCTAGGAAATTTTGGTGCTATTTGTGGACTTAGCCTCCCTAATAAATTAAATCTTGGCTTAGAATCTTTCAAATTCGATCCATCTTTAAATGAACCTGGAATTTGTAGAATATCAGAGGTGTATTTCGGTATCGTTCTTTCTCCGTCTTTATCCACTATCACCTCTTGCAGCACGATTTCGTCATCTTCTGCCATAGCCATATCAATGACATAAGGAGAATCTTGATCAACCCTGAAATTGTAAAAATATTATTTAATTTTAGTTAGTGTAAAAATATAATTTAAAAAACAGCTTGTAAATGTTTTTTACGAAATTCTAATATATTTCTTAAACAAATTTTAAATCCCTAAAATGTAATTCAGCCTATTTAATAGTTAAAATGCGTTAATTTACTCTTTTTTTTTAAGAAGGTTTTTTTTTTTTTTTTTTTATGATTCAGTTTGATTAATTACTCTGTTAAATAATACCGACTTCTAACTGCTGTCTTCAAAAGTTAAGATAAACCTAAGCTATAATTTCCTCAAATCCAGTGATGAGAAAAATTTCAATGAACTATTTCCTCCATAAAAACTATATTAAAAAGAGTTTGATCTAATTTCAGTTTTTATTATTTTTTTTCTTCAAACTTTGAAAACAAATATTAGAAAAACGAAAGTTTAATCCTAATAACATTAGATTAATTCAAGATGTTATTGTTAAAAAATATAACTTTCCTTGGATTCCCGAAAGCTTGGAAGTTAACAAAGAGGTTTTGATAAGTTAAAATAAAATTTGGTTTCAAATAATATAAGTTCTCATCTTTGCCGTAATTCATTATTTTTCATTAAGCTTTCAAATATCATACAGTTAAAGTAGAATTTGCTAAAATTAGAAAAAAGCTTTTTCCCGGTTAGGAACCCATGGCAAATAGCCCACATGGTTCATATTAAAATAATTTTTTAAAAAATATAAAAAGCTGTGACATTTTTCTCTCATAACTGTTTACATTGAAGTAAAAATTCCTCCAAAGGTTTTACATCTGGTGTTTCATTTAAATTTTCAAACTTATTTTTAGTAGTTACGGATTTACTGAAGTCATAATTTGGCTGCCACAGTGGCGTGCAGTGGTTGGTGGATGCCGTGGGCTAGTTCTTCGATTAAATATCCCTGAAAAGAGAAGTGTAATCAGTGAAAAGAAGGAAGGGGTAAAAGAAAAAAAAGTTTTTTTTTTTTTCAAGAAAAATTTAACTTTATGCAAAACTAATTCCATATTAACTGTTTTATTTTTGTGAATTTGTGTTACGCAATAACTTAATTTTATTTTAAAAATAATAGATTCCATGCAAAATTTTAGTATCCTTTGTTATCGGATCGATGCCTCCTTTGGCTGAATTCCTAAGGTTGTTGCCCTTTTCACCACCCTCTCTGCATGCCACTGGGCTACCAGTTTTTGCCGTGGAGAGTATAATATACATACGATGAGATTTGACTTTTGGCCTCTTTTGATTCTGAGATCTCGCAACTTTAATAGAAATTTAAATATCATGTGATTGCAAACGCTCGTGCTTGATTTGAAATTTTATTAGATGCCACATATTTTCAAAAAAAAGCAACTTTCAACAATTTTCTATGACTCTCTCTTTACGTTTTGATTTTTATTTTAAACACTAAAGCTGTTATTTAGGAATAATTAATGTTATTTTGAATACATAGATCATTTGAAGACTATGGTCTTATTTCTTAGTTAATTAGATGCAGTTTATATCACACTCATAAATATTTTATCTTATATATCACCGACGAGGGTGACTACTACCTTCGATAATTCCTGCAGCGGGTGTAAGAAGCCGTGGTCTATTTCTATGGTTAGGGACTTCAGCAGCACGAGCTTGTAATCTTTTGTCGCTGTTCGATGCATGTACGCCAAATTGTTTATTCTTGAATATTTTATAGTTTTGAAAATAAAATAACTATTTAAAACTGAGCTTTCTAGCGTGTATTTCATTGCAAACAGGGGAGAGAACTGTGCGCAAAATATAAAAAAAAAAAAAGATCACGCTTAATACGTTTTGTTTAGATTATCACGAACTGAGTGCTTATTATAATTGTACAAAAATGCAACCTCAAATATGCTAACTAATGAATGCTAACTATTAATTGAGTTACAGAATTAAGCTCAAAAGCGTACCTGTTCTGAATAAACATCTCTTTTTTTCGACAGATTAAGATTTTTTTAACTATTAAAATATTGAGAGGGGAAAACCGCAGTTTGGAAAATGACCCAATAGTTAAGTTTAAGTAGCAGCTGAAAGTTATTAGAGTCCTTAATGTTAATTTTCCTTTTTTACGTATTGCACCTTACTCTATAATTTTCTAGCGGTATCGAAAAAAATTTTAATACAACTATAAATTTAGTTTATACAAAGATATAAAATATATCCATATGAAAAAATAACTTTGCTAGTTAATTATAATTTTTTATGAATTCATAATAGGCGAAAAAACTTTAAATAGTAGTGTAGAAAAATGTTTACATCATTTTAAATGACAAAATACAAAATTTGAATGAAATTACCCGAGTAGTTCTTGAGAAACTGAATTTTTAAAATGAAGCTTCTTAGAAACTTTATAACTCAGAAACTATTGCAGTGATTTTGCTCAAATTGTGTGTTATATCACTTAAAATTATAGTTTAAAATGATAAAGATTTGTTTAGCTTACAATTCAATATTTTTTTTTACCCTTATTAAGTAAAATAATAAAGAATTATTTTTTGCATGGATACAACGTTATTTTAGGAAAAACGAATTTTACAATTTTAAACTTTTCTAATGCGCATAAAGCGAAATTAATATTTAGAGCCCAAACTATCGACAGCTTTCCTGACAAAACTATTGAGATAATATTTTCCAAATTGTGGCAATTTTTATGATCAAAAATCATGTTTATTCAGAGAAAGTACTTTTTTGTATCTGTTTCTATAACTTAATTAATAATTAACACTGTTCAATTAGCATATTTCAGGTCACCGTTTTGAACAATTAAGTTTGTCACTTAGTTTGCGAAAATCTGACCAATAGACTAATAGTTATTTAAGATGATATATATATATCTATATTGTTTTGCGCACTGTACATCATATATATCTTAATAAATAGTTTTATCATAGTAAAAATAGGAAAGTATAATTCTGAAAGAAAACTGACGTTGTAATAACGTAATGTGATTTTTTTTTCTTTTTGGCTCATTCCAAGTAAGATTGTCCAGTGGCTGTTGCCGTCGTGTCACAGGTTTTCATGAAAACTTTTTGTAGAAAAGATCTTGATGAAAAACGACTAAAATAAATTTTTCAGAGTTTTCAAACCAAATCTACGATTACTGCCCTTTTTTGCTATTTGACTCAATTTACGAAAATAAGGAAACTACAGATAGGAGCTCATACGTTAAAACTGTTTGCATCTTTTCTATTTATAAGCCAATTTTCTTAATTTTTGCGTCATTATAAAGAAGTTAACACAATGTAATCAAGGTATTAAAATGCTGGAAATATTTGTATATATATTTTTTTTTAAAAAGTAGGAAGGAAATAATATTTTGGAGAAATTTTTACTGGGAAGTAAAAGCTTTCACTACCTCAATTTTTTTCCTCATAATGTTAAATATCACTTTTCAACATAAAATAATCTAGAGAGGGTTTTTTGTATTTGGTCAAGCGTTTTTTAGCCAAACTGCTTCTAGAATTTTTTTTATAGCATAGAAACAAAGTCCATTTTTCCATTCCATTTTTTTTTCATAACGTGAAACGACGTCATACTTTAAATATAAAAAAATTCAAAAAGGTATTTTTTTGGTCATTAAAAAAAAGTTTTTTTTAATCAAAATAAATCAGATTTTTTATGACATTAGCGGGCTCAGCTCACCAATCTCCGCGGTCATTCATTAGTGTTTTTATCCTTAAAATTCGATTAAGAAATTCATTTTGTTTATAAAATATATCGTTAGTATAACTTTATATAAGCACATTTTGTTAATGTAACGACATGAAAGGATTTGAAAAATAATCAACTGTAGGTGACAAATATTGGACTGCAGAAAGTGCGATACAATAATGAAATTGTGGGGGGGAAATGAGATCAAGAAATTTCCTTTTTGTGCCAGAATTACTTTGGCTAAAAACCACTTTTATATTTTTTTTCATGGGCAAAAACACCATCTTGAGGTATTTGTATGAAAAAAATATGACATTTAACATAATAAGAAGAAAATTGAGACCTTTAAATTTTGTATTTGTGCAATGCAAAAAAAACTGAAAACCACTTTTTTCTAGACAAAAATGAAACAACACAATCTAATTGTTTTTTTCTGTTTTTTTTTCCATATTGAAAAACACAGAATTTAACAATATTCGAAAAAAATGAGGTCAAGGAACTTTGTTTTGGGGCTATAGAAAATCTTGAAGTATTTTGACTCAAAAACGCTTTTTAATCTTTTATTGATCAAAAACGAAATACAACTTCTTAATTTTTTCATATTGAAATATATATAAAAAATCCTAGTTTTTGTGCTGTAAAAAAATCTGAAAGTATTTTGGCTAAAGACCAAAAAAAAAAACTCTTGATTTTTATGTTGAAAAGTTTGATATTTAGTATTATGAGAAAAAAAATTGAAGTGGTGAAAGTTGTTTTTTCCCAAATAAAAATTCTTTGATTTTGCTCAAAAAATTCCACAAAAAGTTATTTTTATAAAGCTTTTTAAATACTTGCATAATAATTTTCAGCATTTTTGTATTTTAATTACATAATGTTGACTTTTTTCTTTCGAATGAAGAAGTTAAGAAAATTAGATCATAAATAAAAAAGATATAGATATTTTTAACATAAGAGCTATCATCTGTAATTACGCAATTTTCATTAAATCATAGTTTTGGTACAAAAATTCTGGAGAAAAAAAAATTTGTTTTAGTCAATTTTTATCAAAAGTTTCCATGACGATTTGGGACATAACGGTAACGAGATTTTTTTTTATTTTGATCGATTTCACTCAAAATTAGACTTTTATATCTTTTATCTATGAGTTGTGTTTCTTCTTTCTGACATGTTTCAAGAGTTTATTTTTTTTTTTAAATTTATTATGTTTTGTTATTTAAATATCAAACACCCGCTAATAATATCTTTTGTTCTTATTTAAGATAAATGTTTTTCAATAATAGCAGAATGCCTGTTGTGAAATTTATGTTGCAACATTAATTTCCAACATCAAGCTTAAAAATCAGTAGAATCAGCAAGAGACTGTTTATGTCTAGTATCATAGTTCAAATCTATGTGCCAGCTCTTGTTATGTAAAATTAATATAATCAGGAACTAGAAGAGAATAGCATAATTTAATTTAAGGTAAAGGTGCACAACCTGCGGCTTGCCAGTTCTCCCGCACCTAAACATAAAAAATAATTTATTTTTTTTAAGAAAATAAAAAAGGGACATTTTTGAATTGCTGATTTAGGTTTTCAATATATTCTAAATCAATATATAATTTTTCGATGGTGATCTTTAAAAAAGTTTTAAAAAATCCCAATTTAATACAGGACGGGATAGCTTGGTTGGCAGGGCACTGGTCACATGTCCAAGAGGTTGTGACATTAAGTCACAGCCTAATTTCTAAATATCCCGTTTTATTAATCAAAATACTAATTTTTCGGCTTAATTTANTAACTGATGCGCATTAAATCTGTCCGATCACAGAGTCCTTATGCTATGGATCCATGTTCCCATAACAAATCATACCTCTGAGGATACTGTTCCAGGAGTTTCCTTGTCTTCTAGATTGGATTCAAAATTACAAGGTTACGGAGTTGAACATTAGTAAACGTAAGCACAAAATTGGGTCGGCTGTTAAACGACGGTTATAAAGTAAAAAAAAATTTTAATACGGCACAATTACGATGCGGGAATTTCGAATTTTAGTAATCAGTCACTTACGAAGCGTCTTATTTTCGTTCATTTCATTTCAATCCGAGAGCTTTTTCAATTATGTTTTTGGTAGTTATTGTCAGATTTCCAAGTGTTTTTTAAAATCCCTATATTTTTAATACGATATTATAAGGACTCGCGAATTTCGAATCGGGCATTCTGACAGTAATCTTTTTTGACGTACCCCTACAATACAATGTTATTACAATACGCGAGATTCGAACGTGGATTCTAAAACTGTTCATTGTTTAAAAACCGTTTAAGATTTAACATTCATAAAATCTCTTAAACTAAACTAAACTCAGTGGCGCGACAGCCCATAGAGGGCCAAGGCCTTCTGTGCCCATCTCAGTTTTCTTGACCTTGGGCTCTGGGGTGCAGGAGCAGATGTTCCGGTTAGGTGGTCAGCCAAACGCGGAACTCCCAGTGTTTAGTTCCCAAGCATGCTTGGTACTCATTTATCGACCCACTGAAGGGATGAAAGGCTGAGTCAACCTTGCCCGACCCCAGGATCAAACCAGGGACCTGTGACACGACAGCGCGAAGCACTACCGCTCAGCCACCGGGCGTCCATTAGTATCTACCCCAACCAAATAGTAATTTATTATACTCTCCCATAATTCACTAAATGTATAAATGTTCTAAAGTTAAACTGTACTGAACTGAACAACTATATGCTGGATTTTATTTTGAACTATAATGGCTTGTTTTATTTTAAAGACTCCGTAAAAAAATTTCCATTAAAATATTTAATTTGCATTTATACTGCTAATGAAATGTTTATTTATCTTTTACTTTCATTCTTAAACAGTTCATTTATTTTGAAATAAACTTTCGTGTTGATTCATGTGATAAAAAAAAAACCTACAACTTTTCCTCCATCTTCATATTTTTTTCTTTTTGGATAAATCTATTTTGTGATATTTCATTATAAAAAAATATCTTTTTTTGTTGAAAATTATCAGTTTAGTAACCTTCAGTTTAAAAATTTTTTATTGCAAATGTATTACTAAATTGATTGATTAAAATAATTGTGTCTTAAACACTGATGTTTATATTAACATTATCATAATTGCCGTCAACATCTCTAAGTACTTGGACATGTGACCCTTCATTGGACATCCTGCTGCACAAGTTTCTATTCACTGTTATTTTATATTGTTTGCAATAAATCATTCAATGCATTATATCATGCTTAGTATTTGAAATTTTTTAAAAAGAGAAGTTGTATAAGAAGCTTTTTTAAAGACTTATTATTTTTTTCAAAAAATAAACTTACTTAAAGAATATTAGATTCTTTGGGCCAAGTGAAACGAAGTCAAGTGATAGTTATTAAATACATTAAGAGAACTGCAAACCATGCGTCAATTTGCTTCAAATTCACTAATTGAATTCTTGATGTACGAAGATAATCCAAAAAATAATATGTTTAGAAGTTTGCGAAGCAGTGAATCATTTTTGTTTGTTACCCCACTTTTTCAACGTTTTTGATTATATGATTTTACCAACAAATGCTGAGTTAAGGCGCAGAAAATCTGTTTTTGTACGCGAAAAAAAAACGTTATAAATGGATTGATGGAAACGAGTACAGCGAGCTGTGAATGGATGAATAAAAAGCAAGAGAAATAAGAAATTTTGTAAATCCCTCCTGTAACAAACCATCGTTCTTCTGCAACAGTTTGACTAGGATATTCTCACTCATCCATACGATAGTTTGGATATTGCACGCAATTTCTGACTGGAGTTTCTAACTTGTAACATTTGTTTCTAATATTGAGGGGATTTTAAAGCTTTCTAACAACAAAAAAGATGACGTGGTTGAAGACAAGATTCATCTCTATCCCAACGACATGCTATGAACTGATAAATGACATGGGCATACAAAAACTACTACAACGCCGCCAAATATACACCGATGGAAAAGGCGATTAATTAAAGCAGCATATGAATGTTCAGCTTTTAAGATAATTCAAACATTATTGAAAAATAACATTTATTTATATTTTAAACAAAAGGATATAGGATACCTTACTTTTGGGATTACATTCTTAAATGACTGATTTTTAAGCTTGATGTTGATAAATTTAATATTAGAAGTTTAAAGGGGCATGGTCTTACCCCAAGGTACCTGAAGCGTTCTTGGCCCCAGAATTCGACTTGTATGGCAACGGGTCTCTCAGATCAGAATCTATTGAGTCGATGGATCTGGTGTCTAAATTAGTGTAACTACTAGCCGGACTTACACCTTTGGAGTCTCTGCCTTGGAATAAACTAAACATTGATTGCCGCCTTGGACCCATAACCTCACTAATTGTCTCGCCGTCATCATCATCTTCTGACATGTCAGGAAGAACCATTCCCTGCTGCTCCATAGGAACTCTGGAAAAAGAAAAATGAATAAAGTATTCGATGTCATCAAACAAAAAATTCCCTTAATCTTACTATAATGGAAAGAAAAATATTAAATAAAACTTTATCCCATGACGAATATGAACATTTTTGTTGTCACGAACAAATTTTTGACACAATAGTTGGATTTTCATGTAGTAAGTTGCCTTCTTTGGGTTTCTATTGAAAAATCCATAAAAGATACAATATTAATCACTTCCAATAGTTAATTAAGCTAATGTCAAATGTTAGTTAAGACGACCTTCTGAGCCCAAGTCTGCGGGTTCGATCCCCGGCCCAGACACCGGATTTTCGGGATGCAGAAAATCCTCAGCGGCCATGACGCATGATTATGCGGCATGTAAAAGATCCCTGGAGTGCCTAATTGGCTCTTGGCATTTCCGGCAAAATTAAATTCCTAGTGCACTTTAGCATCCAAATAGAGTCTCGGTGCTGCCATCTAGTGTGGCAGAAACTAGACGTCCAAATTAACATGACCAACGGTATCTCACCCATTGTGGTGGTCCTGAAAGAGTGGATACCACCTCTGGGGAACGCACTAGGTCTGCTCATCGGCAAGACTGATTGTGCAGCTCATTGGAAATTTTAAAAAAATGTTAGTTAAGATAAAATGTTTATATAATCTACTACAAAAGCTTAATCTTAAAAATACAAGTGGTTATTTAAAAAAAAAGTAATAGTAAAAAAAATTTTTAAAATTTCAGCACTTCAGAAGCATTATCAAATTTTACAAGATCATAAAAATATCTACTTATAAAATACTTACTGCATGTATGCAACCGATCCTCTGTATGTTTTCTTTTTGTAGTTTTTAGATGCTTCTGTGTATGGAATTTTTACATCTAGCTCATCGTAATATGTATCTTTAACCAAAGGAGGTGGCGTCCCATTTAGCGTATCAACTCCCAAATAAGATACCTATAAATAAATGTAAATACGGATTTTTTTATTCATGCATATTATTACTTAATGGTATCGATAAATAAAATTAAGCAAGGAACTAGTGCAAGGTTTAGAACATAGGTTCGCAAAACCACCTCCTCTTGGCAAGTCAATATATTTTTAAGTGTCCCCTTGCAGAGAAAGAAAACGATAATAATAATAAACGAATAATTAAAATTTTTGTCATATTCTAAGTCGAAATGAGTTCAACTGTCGAACAAATAAAACCAAATTTAAGATTTTTAATGATATTTTCAAAATAAAGTAGTATTTTATTGGTTAATACGTTCATTATAGTCCTTATTTTTAATTAAGTCGGGATTCCGTCAAACGAAGGTTGATTATTTGGGGTTTAATAGCAGAAAATTAGAAACCGCTGCCCAAGACGACACGCTGTTGCTGCCTTAATGCTAGAAACAGTTCATGATTGCTTTACTAGTTACCTACATATATTTGCATTAGTATCTACCCCAATCTAAATTGTAATTTATGTGTCTGTGTGATGAATGCTGAGCATCTTGTAGCTTGCTATGTAGTCTGTGGTGACATCTGTGAGTTATATTGAGGAGGTTAGAGTAAAATAAAAGTCCTTGCAGACTCATTGACTTTTGATAATTATTTTTATTTCTTAAATTATTATTTAATGTCACTTTATTCTACTGTTCCTTGTTTTTTCTCCATCTGTGTTTCCGCAGTGTGCTTCAATCTGGCGAATGATGTATTTCAAGTGCTACATGATAGAAAGAATAAAAATGAGAGATTTTAGTTAAGGAGAACTTCTTTAATTATGCCTTTATATTGTGTAAAATATACCCAATGACTATTGTATTTAGAAAGCGTTTTTTTTATTTTTATTTGTTTATTTATTTATTTATTTATTTTACTAATTTTAAAAAAACAATTCACATGATAAGTTTTTAAATGTTTGTATAAAAATAAATTTAACATATCACTTTACAGTTTAAGTTAAATATATTTTAAATACTATCCGCCTTTACCGATCAACTTAGTCGCCTTTCAAAATTATCTCGTTCAACATATAAACTTTAATGGTAACCAAGACGAATGCACAGCACAATTATATTTAAATATTCTAATTTTTTTCACCCCTCTACCAATTATAACACTTTAATTAGTTTTAAACATTATATACTCACTAAATTTTTTCACCGTTTAGCTGTTGCCAGCGGTTTTGCCTTCGTGAAAATACTTTGATTTCAATTACAAGTGATGTTTTCGAAGTTCAATTACAAGTTTACGCGATATTTTCGAAGTTCTTTATCTATTGAATTTTAGTAATAATTGAAAATCCGCCCGGAAGCCATAAAATTATGCAAACACCACCGTAGTTATGAGTTTAAAATTTCCACAACGAGTTTAGAAAAGATCAGAAATGAATCTAAATAATTGCTTTGTAACTAGTTTTTATTTCTAAGAAAGTACAAAATTAGTCTAAATAAATACTTAATGTATTGCTAACTATTCAACACTACTTAAATTATTACTCAAGACACCTTAATAAAATTAATAAGAACTATAGTGTTGCCAGTAGATAAGGAAATACCAGAGTTTATTGTGCCACATAAGAGAAATATACAGAAAGATTACTTTTCTTATACATCGTAAATCATGTATAAAAAATAAGTTTCGAATGTAAATTCAATTTCGGCCATTAATGTAATCAGATTGATTGTTTCGATTGCTTCTGTTTTTTAGTTCAGGGATTACTGACTGAACCATAATCCAAAATCCAATCAGTGAGTTATATTTTATAAGTTAACAATAGTAAATCCGAAGTTAATTATATTTTGAAAATATCCTTTTGAATAATTAAACAGAGGATAAAGGACATAAATTATTCCAATAAATTAACTTAAAAATATCTTTAAATATCGATTTAAAACAAGTATAAGTGAGAGACAATGAACAAAAATTTAAGTTAAACTAAATTTCCCTAAGTTTTCAAGCAATAAATTTGTGATTTTTTGTTAAAGGAAAACATGAATAATTCAATGCACTAACTTTTAACATTAAATTTAAATAAGAAATAGGGGCCCAAATGTTTCCCCGTTTCCTCAATTTTTCGATTTCATTCATTACTAATTAAAAACATAAATAGTTAAAGATTTATTGAAAATTCTCAATATTTATTAAAAATTTCGTTTTATTTTATAATTTATTTTATTAGTTCTAATACTTAGTCAAATCTTAACTATAAATAATAGCAAATATATTAAATACAAAATTTTGGTTTCAAGATACATAAAAATAAGGTTTGTTTAAAGCTGCATTAAGATAATTAAAACCTCGAACAGTTATATTCTATACGCCCACAAAAACCAGTAAATAAATAATAATGGATAAATAAATAATAAATTTGTTAGAAGGGATAATAGTTATGTGCAGTTTATAACATAGTTCTATAAGTGTGTTATCAAATGTTAATATTAATGAAACTAATGAATAGATGCTAGAGAAAATTAAACTAGAGAATTTCCCATTTTAAAAAGTATCAAAATAAAAACAACTCAAAGAAAAAAAGATTTTGCGTCTCCCTTTTATTTTCTTTCCAATGCTTAAGAAAAGATAAAATCATTGTCATGGCTGTGAATAGAATTCTGCCTTTCAAAACAATGTCCGTCGTTCCTCATCACAATTCGTCTCACACAATAAAGTAGCAATTGCTAAGAAAAGCAATCCTGCTTAACTCTCCAAGCGTTGATTTTCTGGATAATATTGTACAGAAATATTCCTGCTGCGTCCTATTTCCCCATTCGATAATATGGAAAGCTGGTTTTTCGATGCAGAAAAGTCTACAACGGAAAGTTCGGAAAAGGCCGAGACTAACGTCAAGAGGATTAGTCGCAATTTTTCAGTTCCAAACTCATAAAATGCATCATAAGCCTGTAATTTATTGATCATTTCCTGTTAAAAATTATCAAATTTTATACCCAATATGGACTTTCTATATTATGCCTTATATCACAAACGTTTGTTAAAAAAAATAGATCAAGAATGCTCTAAATTATGTTTACCTTCATGTGACGGTCGATTATCCAATTTAATTCGAAGTCCTCATCGTCATCTCCAAAAGGATTAATTAACTGCTCCGCTACCTAGACACACAAGAATATAAATATTAAATAAGCAATTCCAAATTTTAAAAACTCTTCAGAAGTATTACAATTTTTGTAAATTTTGAAACACATACTTACAACGACCATTATATGTTAACTGACACGCATTTAAAGCCAAAACAATAGGAACAAAAAATTAACACTTGAACTCATTTATTTTAAATTAAATTTTATTAAAAAAAGCTTTATTTCACTGTGTAAAGCGAAACGGAGTGTGCTTAAAGCGAAACGGAGTTTTTCGCTAAAAATGAATATTTAAAAATCACATTTTTCAAACTGGTTGACAAAATGTGCAATGAAACGATGAATCAATTTCCATAAAATTTTACCAAATTGATTAAGTATGTCTTATTCTTGTATGAACTATTTTCGTGATGATAGTTTTATCAAAAATATTAAGTCCGGCCTTTTGTTATAATTAAAAATATGTTTCTAATTATAGGCCTTCAGATTAATAGTTTGTACGTGTTTTACATTTAAAATATAATTTTGGACGAAATTCAAAATGGCTAATTCTAATTCTCAATCGGCTTTATTTTTATTCAGTTCTCATTCGGCTTCATAGTTATAGTCATCTCTAAAAGATACGGAGTGTGAAACCAATTATAAAGAGGCCTACTCAGACCATCTTCTAACTTCCGCTGTCATAAAAGATTTAGAGGGGGGATCCTTGGTTCCACCATGTGAAATTATGAACCATTTGAACGGCCTCCATCTATTTTCCAATACCCGAGATTGGCCATTATGACAACGAAGGTTTCTATACCGTCTTCAAATCTGGTCATGCTTCTTGTTCAATTGCCACTCACCGTATCTTTGAGTGGCATTTTAGCCTTTAAGTCTGAACCAGCCAGACACCTACCTTGCACAACATGTCTCAGACAACTCTGGGGAAAGCAATTAAAACTTGCAAATCTCTTTGAAAATCATCTAGAATCCGAAAATAGATTTACTGAGTGACGGATGCAACTGCTTCAAGAATTTCTTATTTTAGTAGGAAATTATGTTGTAAGACTTGAAATATCTGTAAGAGAGACCTCCCTCATTTTTTAGTTCTATGCTGTTAACGCTGTTTCTTACCTTTCAGCTCCAAAGAGTGTTACGCATGTTCATGCGTGTGTATTACAATCGTTGAAGGATTATTTTATTTGTATTATACCAAATTTTATTGAAATACTCCTAGTAGTTTTGAAGCTAATCATTAATCATTCTAATCTGGAAATTCTCTTTATTTTGAGCACCAGTCTATGTCTGTTTATGAGGCACTATTATTTTCTTTTCGCCCTATTTCTTTAGATTTATTCATGTATTGGCCAAAGTTAACCCTAGTTAATCCTTTCATAACTTTATGCTGAGGCACATAACTTGAAACACTTATTTTTTTTTTTAATTATTTTTTTTTTTACTGTTTAATGTGTAATTTATGCTTAATTTGAACAGAAATTATTCTGGCGTAATATCCAAAACAATGGACAAAAGATTTCAGTACATACCTTTAGCAAGCCCATATAAAACATTAATTGAAGAATAGTAAAGATTGGAACGTAGAAATCGTATCGATGCACTTCAGGTGATGATGGACTTGCATCAGCCACATCAACGTTTTGCCGACCAAACATACAAGCTACATAAAATGCATACGTTGCCATGGTTACAACCTAAAATATAATTATTCTTTGTCATTATACGAATTATAATATTTACTGCCATGTATAGAACGAAATAAAAGTTTTGCCTATTCTTGGATGAAATCTGCTTGCTTAGCATTTACAAGGACGTTCGGCAATTACCGCTCTAGAGACTACTTGATACCATAATCATCTTCAACCATTATCAATTCCTTGCTTTTGGCACATATTTTTACACTCCTTGTCAAAAATGAAGGCAGGGAAGGTCTATACATTGAGGCGGGTCACAAATAAATATTTAAATGATTAAAAAAAAAAAAGAAACACCATCGTATAGGTATGAGAAGGATGGGTGTATAAGATATCGAAGGCTGGTTGGAACTTGAATGGTGTTTTTAAATAATTACATGTAAAATTATTATATAAATATATTAAAGGAGTTTATAATGGTATTCTTTCTCTATTTTCCCTCCAGCCACTCAACACGTTATGATGTTTTGTGTCTTCCTTTGTAGTTACTCGGCAGATTCCTATATTATTTTTTGTTTTTTCCTCACTTAAATGTAAATTTTTTATTCACAATATATATACTTTTTTGCCGTTATTTTGAAAGGGATCCTAAAATTCATTTTAGGAAATCCCTGTGTCTCTAAACACTTATTGTAACACTATCCCTAAAATAATCTTTCAATTCATAGAAATTTTGTTAAAAAATGATTTTAAGCAATAGCTTAAATCTCTCTCTAGAGGGTTATTTAATTTTTTACCTTTTTTCTCCATTTTTTTTAAAACTTATTCTCTCCTTGTATTTCGATGGAATATTTTTTTACTGTTTAAAATTTCCTTTTCAAATCATAGACTTTTCGTTCGAGGTAGCAGATCTTGTTTTACTTCATAGGGAGGAAGCTTTAACGTCACACCTGCATAAATGTTGGAAGACCGTAGAGCTCCACAGAACTATAGCCTTATTATGTTTTTTTTTAGGTTGATTAAGTAAATTAAAGGAAAATTTCATAATTGTGAGCAAAAAGTAATGTAAATTTCTCTACTGCTATGAATTTTCTATTAAAATTGATAAGTAAAGTAAATAAATGTTATATTGTGAAAAAACATAAAATGCAGTACCAGGAAATTTTACCATCACTCATAGTTTTTTTCTTTTTTGCAGTAAATTTAATTTTAATTTTAAGAAGCAGTTAGTATATGTTTTACTGACAAATTTAAAAAATAATAACTAAGTATTTAAAAAAGAAGTTTTGCCTATCGTAAATTTTAGGATAATAATTCACCAATAATATGACAAACTGCAAAAAATAAGGCATAAATGCGAACTCTGAAAGCAAAGTACTTTAACATGGTTGTTTATGAATGATTACTCAATTTCATGAAAGTAATATTTTTGAATTCCTATTAAATTAAATACATTATTTTTATAATGATATTGTATTTAATGTATAAGTTTAATTACCTGCAATGTTTTATAATAGTAATGCACTTAAACATAAAAATTTCTATAAATAAATAATTGATGTTTTTTTACAATGAAATTTTTTCGAATTTAATTATTTAACAAATTTCTTTTACTAATTGTAAATACATTTGTATGTTTTCTAAAGCCACATACTAAATGTGATTATGCTTCAATTAATTTTTTTACATATTTTTAACAAAGTAATGTTAATTTTTATCTGTGACTATTAGTATATTGAATTACCCAAATATGTTTTTTGCTTTAATTTCTTAGTTTTAAACTTGACACTTTTTATACTAGCTGATTTTGATCTTTAATTTATGTAATAAAGTAATTAATGAAATTTTTATTAAAAATAATTCAACATTTTAATGAATTCAAAATTCTACTAAAAGTAATTCAAATAGTAGGGGAGAGTGGGGTCAATTGTAACAGGGTACGATTGTAACAGAGCAAAAATTTCGAGTGTCGGGTTCTAGATTTGGTTCCTATGTGGCACACAAGGTGTATTTAATAAATCTACATGTACACCCCTGCTGGCAACCATTTTTATGTACTTTTGAAAGAGTTACATCACAAAAGATATTTTCACGCTACGTAAGTACTTTTTTTGGTATTAGAATATTGTATTGTAACAAAGTAATTTTGTTTAAACAAATAAAAATTATTAACCGAATATGTAAGTGGACACCTTAATTAACATTTCAATAAAAAAAATTAGTTTTGTTAATTAACAAGCATTGTTTTTAACAAATGAAGCTGAAATGGCGTCTTGGGGACGATTGTAACAATAAGTAAAGGGACGATTGTAGCAGCTGAAAATAAATAATCTTATGTTTACAAACCATTACTTAACTCTTTAAGAACCACCAATAGTTTCCTATATCATTTAAATTATGTTGCATATGCATTATTTTATTTGTCACCTTTCACAGCATAAATTAGAATTTTTAACCCCTTAAAGTTAAAAGTTTAACCCTTTAGGTCTCTGCTCATTATTATTTTTACTCATAAAATATCACTACTATTTTGATCAATAAAAAAATATATCACAACTATGATAATATGTATAATTAACTATGTTTTAGTTGAATTTATGAACTGTTACAATTCTCCCCGTAAGTGGGGACAATTGTAACAAGTGCACGACTGTAAAAAATTGCTAATAACTAATATAATAACATTTAAAATAAGTTTTTTCTTCTTTTTTTCAAGTAGAGGATAGTCTACTTTACTCGTCTGTCAATTAATACTAATAATATATTGGATTTTTTGTTAGTTAAAAATATTTAAGTAAAAAATGTTCCAATTGACCCCACTCTCCCCTACAATTCTGTAGTTTATTATTTTTTGAAGTTATACTTCTTATGCGACTTCCAACAAGGTTGCGTTAAACGTTTAACGCTACATTTTTATTGGCCGAGAAATCACGTGGTAGAATCCGGTTTTCCTTCATTCATTTCCATATTGTTTTGGTTCTCACTAACATAACAATAATAAAAGTATTGTTTTTCTATAAATATTTTTTTAGTTTGTTTTGATACACATATAATTTAATAGGGTAGTATTTTTTATTTTCTAATTTAGTGGATAACAATTGTAAAAAATGAGTGAAAACAATCCCACGGACAATGCGACGGATTTAAGGTTATGTCAAGGTACGTCTCTTGTATATCAATCTTCTGAAATTACATTATGACGCATTCACATACGTTATTAATACAAATACATTTTCAGGGCGGTAACAATGAGGCAACCACAAACACTTCCACTGGTTCAAGAGGTCCACGAGGGAAAAATGCACAATATTACAGTGATTACAGAGCACGGAAGCGAGCGGAGCAGGAAAAAGAGTCGTTGAGTAGAACTAGTGATCCTTCTACGACTGCTGATTCTTCTACAATTAACGTCGCAGGTTGAGAAGTTTAACTTCTTCCGCTCGGAGGGACTCCACTCACTATTTTTTTATTAATTTATATTGATCAAGAATTTATCGTATTAATTTATATTGATCAAGAATTTAGCCCGTACATATTTTAGAAACAGTTACATTAGCACATAGTGTTTCTTTTTTCGACACAAATGTAGCAAAACTTATTTTTAAGAGTGAATTTTTCAAATATATAACCAGACACTTTAATGATTCACTTTTACGTGTGTGGGATTACAAAACAACGAAATTAAAAGAAATTGCTTTTAAATACCTGTGTATAAACTAAAGGAATGCTAATCCAATCATACCCCCACAGCAATCCACATTTTGATCTGAATTCGTTCAACTCCTGAAAGATAAATAAAATTCAGAGAACGTCGTACATGGAATTAATTAATCTTATAAACGTAAAATTATACATGAATTTAGGAAATAAATCTAAGTTGTTATGAATTAAAATTAAACTCGGGTCATATGCAATAAAATATTTGAAATACAAAACTAAAATTTTGCGACAATATGCTCGCGATAAATATTAAAAAAGTTCAATACATTTGTAAAAATAGTTTGTTTTAAGTTCACATATTTAGAATGCTTTGAATTTTCAAATGCGAAAGAAAATTAGTCTCAGGCATCATATTTGTGACCCTGGTGTTAAGTAATTGCACTGAAGCTCCGAAATGTATTTTTGTACAGGGTGTGTCTTACAAAAGAAGGAAAACATATTTATTTGAGTACTGCAAACAATGGAAATGATATTTGCCGGCATAAATGTGCAATTACGTGCTTGTTTAACATAACACACTGCAACAGTTCAGGTAGATCACGAAAACTGACGCTAGAAACTCCTCTAGGTTGACACACCCAGCACTGGTTAACTTTTTTTTAAATATTTATTAGGATGATAAAAATTGAGAATTTATAGGGGAATTTAAGCATTTCAGTTAATTTCTTAAATATATTTAAAGTAATAAAATTGTGAAAACACATATTACGATAAAAGATGTTACAATTTCGATAGTATTGGTTTTCAACGAAAATTGATAAATTTTAAATTGTGACAAATGTTTTTGTTTTGTTTACTTTCTACTTACAAAAATGAAAATTTTGTTTGAAATATGTTAAGTAATTTGCTCGTTATGAAAACTTTATAAAAAAAAACTAGTTAATGAGTTTTTATAAGTATGAAAGTCTCATACTTAGATGTTTAGTCAGATTTAGTTATTCATACGACTTCATATATTTTGTCATAAATTTAGTCTCATTTTTTTATCATTTTATTTTTGTTCAATAATACGCAAGGTGATTCTGTACAACGGTTACAAACTTTGAGGGGAAGTACAGCGAGAGAGAATTGCATAACATCCCATGGCCGAAAATATCATCTTAAGCCACTACGTATCCCTATTTTGGGTTGACTGCTGTGCTCATTTAAAATGTTATTTTTATTTATCTAAATTATCTTATTAGTTGTTAATTTAACGTTTTCTAGTAATTATTGTCATACATTTCATTCAAATAAGCCATTAAAAATAACCGCTTCATCGTATCATAAAAATTTGGCGAGTTTGTTGCCAAATCATTAAACAGCAGTCAACCCAATTCTATGAATTCAATAACGATTCTGGGCCTATTTAAAAACAATTTTCAGCAAATACATTAGAGTCCTGATTATCCCAGTTAATGTGGTTAATGTAACAGTTAATGTAACTCTGCCATTTTTTTAGGGATAATAGAAAGGCTAGTGTCGCCTCTTTTTGTTGTTCTATGAATTCAATACCACTTTCGATAGTTTTTAGTACACTCGTATGAGAAATTTTTTTATGTTGATTTTCATCGTCACTGTCTTCATCATCTTCGCTAGATTCATTTTCATTATTGACGATATTAACGATCATTTTATCGGATCAAATTGTTCGATTTTGTTTTCCTGAGTGCTTAGAGGATAAAACTCAGATTTTTTTTTTCTTTTTGAAGATATTTTTAAAAGTAAAAAATAAACTAGAACAAAAATTCCTTGAAATATTTGATAGCTCGGTTAAAGCGGAAATTCGGATAATCGGGACTCTACTGTATATTGATAACATGGTTGTCAAACAGACTCCTCTTTAAAGTGTACACTTCTTGAAACAAAATTCTATTACTGTTACCTTCTTACAAAAGAAAATAAATACCTCCATGATCAGTTTAAGGCCATTCGAATCAGTTATTCTGCATTCTTGTCTCGCTTCTCGAAGAACGTTGATGAACCAGGTACAAGGGATCCAAAAAGTGTTGAACTCTGTAGAGGGAACACTTTGGAACATTTCCAACTCAGTTTTAGTCATGAAACCTGCCAAAAATCCAGTTTTTTTTTCTTAACCTGTTTCTATCATGTCATTAGCATAGCTTCATCATAAAGTGTGAATGGAACATAAGAAAACTGCTAAGAATGATATTTCAATGTCAAATTATCTGTCAAAAATTTTTTAGTTTCCTCTTCTAGGCTTTCTTCCCTAGCTATTTTTTTCTTTTATTCTCATCATATCTTTGAATCACACTCATTTGTGCAACCATTTATCAAATGATGTGTTATGAAATAGCTTTTAAATTACTTAAATAATGAGCAGTCATAAAGTTTATCTTAACTCTCTTTGGTCTTAAGTATTATTTTACGGATATTTTTTATATAAGTGCATTTTTTTAAATCTTGAAGTTTCATAACGGTGGAAGAATATTTTGATATTCATAATTAGGTGAATCAGCAACCATTTAAGTTGTTCCAGTTATGAGACCAAACTTTTGAATCGATCTCTTGGCTAAATTATCGTAAACTTGTCTTCCTGACTGTTGCCACCCTCTGCCCATACTTAAGACATTCTAAATCGGAATTTATCGTAAGAAAAATGTGTTTATTCGAAGTGATTTTTTTTTGTGTCACATTTTATTACTTAAAATGTCATCCACTCTAATTAATTTGCCTTTTCAACCAATTTTTGCCAAACGTCATTTTAAAAATACGATCTCTTTTTTTTCGAAAACGAAAAAAAAAAGGTAACTTAAGTGTTTTAATATTAGAATTTATTTCACAGAAACAAAATTCTTCTACCTCCCACAGTATATTAATAATATAAATTATTGTATTTCAATGTTTCCAAAACTTATGACTTTTGAGTACCCTTTCTAAATTTTTCATAACGCTGTGTACCACTAATTAAAAAATGAATGTATATTTTACTATAAAAATTGCACAAAATTTAAAAATCACAACTGGCTGTTGACACTACTAATTATTAACTGTTAACTCCTCGAAAATAGCCAATGAAAAATACGTAATCGTAAATTTTTATGGCTAGCTTTGTTTTTAAATAAAAAAATTTTTAATTTTTGTTAGTTGCAAGATATTTCGTACCCCCGCTAAACTGTTCCCTTACCCCTGGGGGTACACGTACCACACTTTGGGAAACACTGTGATATTTGAATCTAATATAAATATTTGTATTTGAACCTGAACTCAAAGCACGGTGCGTTTGTAAGGCTGAAGTGGTAGGTATTCGGAAGAAATACGACCACTTTTATTCATACAAATGATTTTAATATATAGACAACTGGAAAATCCTATCATAAGATTAATAATTAATAAGATGAGCTTCTCATTTCCACGCACTGCATTATTGAAAGCATTTTTCTGAAATTAAAATTTGAAATTTGTATTGTAAATTAGAAAGATATAGACTTTTATATTGAATCATATTTGAATCAAATAAGATTTTACTAATTTAAAATGCCCCTTTTTCTTCATTACAATTAGGTCAATTTTCAACTAGTTTCATTCACATTTAAATAGTATGAATATCATTAATATAGTTTCCGCTGAAAGCAAGAGTTTTGTTTTTAATTTTTGATTAACTTTTTTCTTATAAACTTCGATTTGGTTAAAAATGTTTTAAAAAATAAAAATTTTAAAATCGATAAACTGCAGTGTTAAGTCAAATTGTTCCGACTTTTTCAAAAATAACAAACAGGCTATAAGGTTTCGATGTCGACATCAGATGCTGTTTTTAAAAATATCAATAATATTGAAATTAATGACGGAGTTAAAAAGGTGCAAGTTTCTATGTTTTCTAAAATGATGTATGAGAAAAAGTTGTCACAGCTAAAAGATATGAATGATTTAAATGTAGCATATATAACATTCATAATATTAAAGTCAACGAAGATCATACTCAAATAAGTATACACTACTCTATTTAAACCTTCTTCGTATTTTTCTTTAGTACTAAATTTCATAATTATGCTTTCATATGAACCCAATTTTCATCCAGTTTGTTCATATTATTGTATTACTTCTTGCTCCTTCAAATAATAATGCACAGAAACGTATAGGAATTTTAATTAGCTTGTTCCATGTAGCAATTTCTTATTGTATAATCTTTGTATACAATAACACGCTTAAAAATATCTGACGTTAAAAATTATAACGATAAGAAATGCATTTATATTTAAATCAATAAAAACTTACAATTAACTAAATTCAAACTCCAACTTAATCAAAATTAAATCAAACTTAATTCAACTAACGAATATAATAGCTAAATATTGTTGATGAAAAACATTAAGCCGAAACAAGTGAAATTATTTTCTGTGTGTTAATTTCAATGATTTATATTTAAATAAATTATAATAAATCCTAAATATAACTCTCCATTAGAGTTCACACAATGTAAAATAGAAAGGCTGCTTAGAATACCTGCTTCAATGAGATGTTCTTTGGTTGGAAATCTTCTCTTTACGGCCATACTTATTGATCTCAAAACTAGAACAAGGGATAGATTAAGATAACGCATCAATGTCCTTCGTACTACTCTGCTAGATTCATCTAGTCCAGGAATATACATCGCAACTATATTCATTAACCTGCATATCAAAAGTTATAAAAAAATTAATTTACTACATAAGTTTTATAATTAATTTAATATCTTAATTCACTGAAAATAATACGATTTGCATAAGTAACATTTGTATACAAAAGTTCGCACACCAAAAAAAATGCTTCTCGGAAAGAAAATAATTATGCGCAATAGTAATTGAAGAGATAAGTGGAAGAAAATTTAAATCAATATTTTGAAATAAATCGAATATTTTTTTTTAAAAAAACAGTAAACATAATTCGCCATCAACTGTAAGTATTAAACACTAGCTTTCTGCAAAATCTTTAAATAGCCAGTTTTTAATAAGACAAAAAATGTTCTGCAAACTATTTTGTTATGCATATGTGCTTCGTATAACTTTTATTTTTGTAATTTTATTTATTGAATTTTAAATTAAATTTTATTTTATATGTTTATCAAAAACCTTCACAATTGTAGCATACATAAATAATTAGTAGAATAATAATTAAAAGACCATTTCTTTTAATTTTTTAACATGATTAGGTACTTTTCCATTTGCATAACAGCATAGTATTTTAGCCAAATTATTGATGCCATTCCGAAGTTCAGTACCTTATATACCACGTCTAACACATACACGAGATGTGATTTTTGAGACACCGTAAATTAATTTGTTATTGCCCTATATCACACGAACTGAACTGAATTGAAGTTGTAGAAAAGGTAGGCGCTTTTCCACAACTTATGTCATTTTTTAGACTGACCAATAAAGTTACCAAACTTCATACAATCGAAAGTATATCTGGTCTTTCAATAAAAGATGTGTAAGAGGATGCATATCAGCCTGAGATTAAAAGCACTGGGGGAAAAAACTATACAAGATATTTAGAATAACTTTGAATCTAAAATAATTAGAAAATTAGTATCAAAGTATATCAAATAGATCATTTAAATGTTTAAAAAAAATTCTATCCTTTTGCTATACTTTGAGCTCAATAAACTAAGAAATATCAATCTAGTGATATTTGAAAAATGTAACCAATATTAAATATTATACATCATAAATTAATGTTTATTATTTTATATTTACAATGAGAAATGCGTATAATACGCATAAATTTTATCAAAAATTTAGAAATATTTTTGAATGTGTTGATATTCTATTTTTTGTCACATAATTCTATTGCAGATTTTCATTAAAATGAATAGAAAACAATATAATGGTCCTCAATAATATGGTTTTAACTTTAGACGTAGTGTACTGCCTAGTATAATTGATAGGTGGTAAGATTGAGATTTATAACATAAATTCTCCCTGTATGAGTATTATTATCCTCAGTGTCAGAAGTCTGATGTCTGGTCTTAGTGTCTGGATTCATTGTTGCCGAAAGATAACAGGATTCCACTTAAGTTGGCTTATAACTTCAAAAGCGATGATGGAGAATGGAAGTTAATGGAAGACACTAACCAATTGACTATAGAGTTAAAAGACAATCACGGTATATCAACCCGTAATTCTTTAGTCTTGTGTTTTAATTCTATGTTTGCACTAGAATTAGGCCATATTGTCGAGTACAATATTACAACAACAAATAGCACACTAATGAATTTCCATTTTGTAACAAAGTAATATATATGTCTTTCACCGTTATCGTTTCGAAGCGAAAAAGCTCACGAAAAGTTTTCACGTTTTTAACTGTTAAATTATTTTTAAAAAAATATTTTTGAAATCGAAGTGTAAACTTTTTATTTATCAAATGCAATACTTGATTATAAAAGCTATGGTGAAAAAAAGGAACAAAAACCTATAAGTTATACCGAAACGGGATTTGTGGAGAAAAGGATAACTTTCGACAGAAAAAGACAGCTTTTGAATTACATGGTTTTTTCAAAATTGAGAATGTTTTCTTTAAGTGGTATATTGAAGAAACATGTTTTTATTTTTCAATTTAATGTTTTATAGAACTAATAGATCCAAATAAATATATCCACCTGTTTAAACAGAGGAAACTAATGTTTGTGATTTAATGAGGTAAAAGATACCTCTTGGTCTTTTTCACCCCATGCCACTGCTTACAACGCTGCCATCACTGAATAGTGACATTGACAATCAAAAGTTTTAAAAGTTTTCACAATCAAAATTCGGTATTCTCCCTCAGTGCATACTGAATATTACTTTAGTCTGTATAGGTGGAAAACGATGATATTGAAAAAAGAAATATTTCGGCCATACATCAAAACGACTATGTGAAATTCTGGCATTCATTGGAGAACGTCGACATTTGAAAATTTTCATGTGCAGAGCTTTCACATTTTATTTTCTGTTTTATCTACAAACAGTGTTTCGTAAGTATTTAATGAGGTGTTGCTACTTTAATTTAAGCATGCTTTAGTCGAAGTAAGCTGGATCTTAGAAAATATTTTTGGCATTCACCGGAAAATGCCAACATTTGGAAAATTTTCATCTTTAGCTATAACATATGTAGTATTTTATATTTTCTAGTTTAAATATAAGCAGTATTTCAAAAGTATTTCATGATATCGCCAACCAATGGGACACTATTTATCCCCTAGTGACACAAAAGAAAGAGCACCGAGCGACCTTATAGGTGAAAAAGAGAATAGAAAATAGAAACGAAGGCAAGTAAGAATCACTTTCTGGCAATTCACCAGCCTCCTCTCAATTTGAACTGTCTGACTCTCAGGTGTTTATAACGAATTCTACACTCCAATGAATCCTCCTTACGTCGAAAAATATTCACTATGAGCTTTTTGCTTTACGAGCCTCCCTCTCCTTCGTCACCTCCTTTGCATTATCTAAATCACCAAGATAAGTTCTTATGTAAAACAACATTACGACCTGAAAAAAAATTAACTATTTTTTTTTTCTCTTTGTGTTAGAAAATAAAAACAAAGTAGAGCGTTATTTTTACTGATATAACGATACACAAGGTCATCTACTTCTTTGCGGTTCCTAAAAATAAATGCTCCTCCTTGTTTTTATTTAGAATTTTCGACTTTTAAATGTTTTTGATGCAAGGAAGTCTTCCTATCTCTTGATATTACAAGTCGTCTAGCACAAATTATTTAACTGTTCTATGTTTTAGCTATACGACCAAAACAGCTATGGTTGTTATGCGATATCAAGGTAATATGCAACATTTTAATGAGTTTAGATGCAACCTTATAAATATCGAGAAGAAAAAAAAAGAATAAATGTAACAGAAAAACTATTGAAATAATAATTATTAGCACCTACTAAAACTCTTAACGGAATATGATGTTGAGCTTTAAAACATTTTAAAATATCAAAGTTCACTTAACAAAACATTAATTCAGAAACATATATTAAACGAGCTGACCGCAAAAAACATTCAAAGTATTCCATAGTTAGCAGCCTGCTATATTTAGAATTTAAATAGCTTTAATAGTTTTTCAAAGAAGGAACAGAATCAGAAATGTAAATCTTTATAATAATGAAGGGTCATTATTCTAATTCTTAATTACCGATATTTTGAACACTTGTGACAAAGATTATATTCCTATCATAAAAATTTTAAAAAAAGCAATGAGTAATTGATTCACGCATGGTGCTCCTTACTGGCTGCACGTAATATGTTTCAGAATCCTTGAAAAAAACAAAACCTAAAAAATCTCATTGTGAACCGCAAATTCAAGTGAGAAAAAAACGATGTTTTTAAACTCTAACCAAAAACTATTGATCTCGAAAACAGCAATGGAAGAATTAGAATCATTTAAACCCAGTTTGTTTGATGATGAAGGTATAAGGCTGCGTCAAGCGAAGATTAAAGTCGTTATGCTGCTTAGTTTTATTAAACAAATAAGCTAGTTTTTGATTATTTAGATTTCAGCTTTGCTCTTTTTGATCCGAAAAATAATTGGTCAGAATTGAAACAATTTAGTTCTTTTCACTCTAAAATATCAGTTTGAGATTCCTTCTGCGTAAAGTTTTTTCTGTGCATTTCTTTAGAACACTGAAAACAAGCATAAAAAAGGCTTATTACAAAACATTCTACATATTTGATTGCAATGAATGAGTACTAGAGCAAATTAAGATTGAAATATTGAGCGATGACTTAGTTCACACCTCACTTTTCTGGTATGCCATTCCCCCCAAAACCCATTTCTGGGTGAAGTAATCGGTTTTTATGCATGGAATCAGCTTTTTAGAAGAAATAGTTGAAGTTGTGCTTTTTTCATATTGTACCCAATTTAAGATTTTAATTTAAACTAAAAATGTTTAATTCATTAATTTTTTTAACGGTAGACACTGAATACTCGTTTATCACCACAGAAAATGCCGGAAGTGCTGCTCTTTAACGTTGCCCGGTAAGCAGCTTTGAACTTATTTCAAGATGGCGAGCAACAATACCCATGCTACACTGCCACAGATACCCGTTTATAGGGTGGGCCACATTCACACAACAGAGAACAACAATAAGAGAAACATCCAGGCCCTGAGTGGGCTTCGAACCCGCAACCATTGATTTCGCAGTCAGGCACGCTCACCGTCTCGGCTACCTAGCCGGCTTATTAAGGTTTATAAAAAAGTTAGAAGATTTTCGTTACATTTCATTTAATAGCATAACACCTAATTACATAATAATGATTAATTTAATAATACCGAATACTTTAATAAATAAATAGTATAAATATACACATATTTATTACAGTTGTAAATATAGTTGTAAATACAGTGTTTATTTTTTAAACAAAGCTAACTGCGATGTGTGCTAGCATGTTGCATTCAGTTCTTAAACAGTTTTTGAGATTTCAACACCTTATTTTAAAAAAGAATCAATCAATGAATACTAAATTAAAAATAGCGAGTATGTGATCTCATTATTATTATCATCTCATATTATGTGATCATTTTTAAAGTAAGATAGAAAAATAGGCAGGAAGTTGAAACTGATAGAATAACTAGATTGTGATGTTGTGATACGTGCTCAAAAAACCTAGAACTACAATTTACTAAGAGATTTCGAAATTGTTAACTCATATTTATCACATCGTTTCGTTATTCGTAGCAGCAAATCTTTAAAGTTTGATGAAATATTTCTAAATGTGTACAAAATTTCTTGCACGAGCATTTTTGATGAAAAAAATGCAATATGATAATGAATTTCGAGAACATTTTAAATTACAAATTCAATATTATTTTGAATTTTCAATTCTTATTGTGATAATTTTCAAAACATCTTGAAAAATATGTAACTTAAATTGTGGCAAACAGGGATCAAAACCCAATAGCCGCCTTTTGGCTAGGACATTGATTTATTGTTAGTCATAAAAAAATTTAGAAATATTATTAATAAGTTTCTAAAATGCTGCAAGAAATTACTTCGTATAATATACACATAGAAACTTGTCAAGTTAATCAACTGCCATGATTCATCTAGAGAACGAATTCATTCCATATAACAAAAATAAAAGGCATAACCTGACCAATGGACTTGTATGTTGAGCAATAAAGTAATTAAATTCGTCTAGAAGTGCCGCTGAATGCTATTCTAAATTCTTCAAAACCCTTCTTCACCAAAAAAAAAAACTTTTATGCTGGTATGACCAATAAATTTTCCATGTTGCGTATTAGAAGTTAGCCAAAAGATCTTTGCAATTAACCATATAAGAAACTGTTAAGGGCTTTTGTAACAAATAAGTCTGTAACATAACGAAAGGAATTTTAAAATGTTAAAATTAGTATAACGTTGAGTTTTCTAACTACATAGATGCTCTTGCATATTGATATTTTAAGAAATTATTTATAATAAATAGCTGGCATACATCGCTAACAAAATCGCCTATTTATTTTTAAACTAACCAGCTCAATATTAGATTTTTAAAACAATTTATCTCATATCAAAAGATATATGATTTAAAAATTATGTTACAAAAATTCAATTGTATTTATCTTTTTTTTAATTTGAAAACAAATAAAGAACATCTGAATAACATAAAAAATATAGATATCTAAATCAGAATAATATGATAACAGAAATGATAGAAAAAACAATGAATCATCTTTCTCTATAAATGACCAACTTTTTAAATTGACCACTAAAGTAATGCATAAAAAGTGGTAACCATACACATGTTTTACTGTATTTCGAAGCAACTTTTAATAGAAAATTAACCAGAAATAATGTTTAATGAACCCCAATTCAAAAAAAAAAAAAAAAAAATATTTCAAAATGACATACAAATTTTTTTCACATGAATGTTTATTGTAAAAAAAAACTCAGTAATAAATTTCAAAACAATACTATATCAAATGTAATTAACAAAGTTTTAATAGTATCTTAATAATTTAGAGTGTTTGTGTTTCAAACCTATCTACCCGAGTTTGGCTGCTGGGCATAGCTCTAAGCAGACAGTAAATATTTTTTACAGTTTTTTTATTAAAAATTGTCTGTTCTGACTGATACAACGATTTAGGGTCGAAACAGTTTAAGGCTTTGTTTAATATTCTCCATAATTTTCAATTGAAAAATATAGTTTCATTGTATTCTGAAACAAGCATGTATTTATAACGAACAGAACTATGTCTCTCTTTTCCTTTTTCATCATGATTCTTTAAACTTAAAAAATGTGGTGAAAATCTCCCATATGGCAAATCTGAACAAAATTCTAATCAACGTAGCATATAAGATCATATTTTTTACTGCAGAAGTGATATTAGAAATAATATAGAAAACGAAGAAAGTTTCTTTTACTCTTATATCTCTTTGGTGTTGATAAAATGCTTTTTAATTAATTAGAGTTTGTTGATAAAATCTTTCAAGAGATGAAATTATTTTTCCAGCGCCTCGTTTTGTTTCGTCACAAATATCTGGATTTATTCCAAGTTGGGCTATGCCATTGTCTGCTATTCAGAGCTAAACCTTGAGCATGCATCTTCAACACTCCTGTGACATAGAGTTTATTTTCTTTCTTTTTATCAGGTATTAAATTTCAATAAGTTTTTTTTTAATGTTAAAATTGTAAAAGAAACATTTTTACAGCAAAAATCCTTCGTCTAGGCTTAAAAAAAGGCTAAACAAAACTGATTGGATTTTAACTCATTCACGTAAATACTCATTTATTTAGTTATGCTGTCTTTTAGTTCCTCAACAGCGCCATTAAATAGAATTATTATTTTATTATCATTTTTTTGCCTTGAAATGTATCAATTATTAACTGTTAGTAAATGTATTATTTTTGTTTTAGATCATTGTATTCTTTTAACTTAGAGGAACTTATAACAGTAAAATTTAATTTCGTTTTGACGAGAAAAAAAACTTTCAAAAAAAAGTCATTATCTCGCAAAATAGCGCTAAATTGCTGACACAATAATAACAAAAGAAAATAAGTGAATTAAAATCTAAATTAAAGCACACAGACAGATTCCAAAATATTTTATAGTACTAATACAGATTTGATTTGACAGATTTAGCTTCCCCCAATTCCGTTGAAATAAAATTTAAAACTGATCATTTTGCTCAGCAACTTTTGCAACGATCAAACACCTTTTATAATTTTTGTTTACTTTAAGAAAAAAAACGTAAAAGGTTTTTTTTTTGGGGGGGGGGGCAAAGATAATAGTTCAAAGTTATTTCCTAATTTGGTTTTATAATTTTATATTTACTATTTATTTGCGGGGCGCAGTTTATAGAATAATCTTCAAATGAAAGTAAGCAGAACTTATTTAGTCTTTAATAACTGTAAAACGGTTAATAAAGTTACATGCTGATTTGAAGATGTTTATTTTAAAATATTGTGAAGAAAGTAATACTTAATATTATAGAAACATCACTTTTAGTTTCAATTCTTTAATTAGTAATATTAATCAAAATCAAAAAAAGTCATAATAGTAGAAAAGTAATAATAGAAAAATAGATGATGAATAAATCGCTCAGGGGCTGCAATGCTGGCACAACTCAAAAAGCACGCGTTTTGGACTAAGAACAGGTGTAAATATGAAAATACACATTCTTTCAGCAGCAATACTAGCATAAGTCATAATTCAACTTGAAGGTAATCTTCGTTTAAGCAAACGAAAGCATTTCTTATGCATTTTGCTTAGCAATGAAAACTTTAAACACACTTATCTCAAAACTTGTTTTTTTGAGTTGTGCCGCTATTGCAGCCCATGAGCAAAATATTGCAGGTAACTATCTTTAAATTATAAATGACGAAACCTTTCTCAGATAAATAATTCCCCTATGACTTTTATTAAACTGATCGCAACCAAAGAAATTTAGATCTTTATGTAAGAAAACCGGATAATACCTTGTAATTTGCAGGACAACAATAGAAAGCAGTTTTATACCATTACATGTTGATCTTTTATAACCATATCAAATTTATTTTCTTGACGTGCATTTAAACAGGAACTTGTATATATAAGATGAGTCTCAATCGGAATATATTAGAGGCGATAATAATCGAAATAAATTTATCAATTCCTCATAAAGAAAAGGTTTAATCAGTGAATTTTGTTGATATTATACTAAACCATAAATTTCCAATACTGAAAGCAAAAATGTTTAAAAAATGTTTAACTCAATTCATAAAATAACGACATAACAATCTAAAATCAAAAGGAAAATTGTTCACTAACACGTTTAAATTTATAATGTGATCATAATGCATTTTTAAAACAGCCCTTTTTTCTTCCAGAATTTCATTTCTATATTAGGAGTGTTTATTTAAAAACACTAAATTTTTTTACCCTTACACTTGATATATTCTGCTTTTGATAAAATAAATTATAACAAAAAATAATAATTTTTGTACGATCATAATGCATTTTTAAAAACGTCATTCATAAAAAGAAATTTTGTGCACTAAGGAGTTAAACTTTGAATAAAGCAATTGAGGAATAGCCCTTTAAAAAAAACAGTTTCGTATAATACTTTTGGAATACTCTCTTGAATCGCATATGAAAGGACAGAATATTAAACATCAAAATAACAATTAAACATTGTTACCTACTTATCTGGCCACGGTATGGCTATAAACTGACTCCACCACCTTGCTGCGATGAACGACACATAAAATCCAAGCATAAAAGACAGCGGAATAAGATCCATGAATGTGGAACAGAAATACACTATTTTTTCGAATATCCTATAAGAAAGAGAAAAAAATCAGATTTCTTTCATAAATAAGTAAAAAATATCTAAGACAGACACTGGAAACTTAAACAAATTTACAAAAAAATATCAGGCCATTTAATATCTAATCAAAATTTTAATTTATTTATTTTTATTTGTTTCATTTATTCATTTCATTTATTTATTTTATTTATTTATTTCATTTATTCACTTCATTTATTTATTTTATTTATTTATTTCACTTATTCATTTCATTTATTCATTTCATTTATTTATTTCATTTATTCATTTTATTTATTTATGTTCACGATTTTATTTTATTTTGTTATGATCACAATTTCAATCCATTTTAAAAGCGTAAATTTCATTATTTTTATTTATTTTACTTTTATTTTCTTCCTTTTAGTTATTCGACTGTTAATCTGCTTATGGAAAGTTCTCGAAATTTCGATTGGCGATGAAACGGCGAAATACTTGAAATACCTATTAAATAATGAACGCAGGAATGCTCAGCAATATTACATTTTAGAGACCGCCAATATTGCGCCTCGGGGCGAATTTCATATCTTTCTGTTAAAATCTCATCGGTAAAAAGGATCTTTAAAAAAAAAAAGAGGATATTTATTATTCTCTCTTTCTCTTAATGTTAATTTTATTACTGAAACAAAACTTTTCGTAATTTTAAAATAAGTTCTGACTAATTTTACATAAACTATTGTCTGCCATAGATATTGTTTATTTTTCTTCATGCAGATCTCGGATTATTTATATTTGCTGCAAATGTTTTGTAGAATATTAACATATTTGCAAATTTTTACAAAATAAGTTTACAATTTATTCGATATTTTTCCCACTTCAGCCAAAATTTATATCATTAGAAGGCTTTGCCCTCTTTCAGCCCCACTTCCCAACCCCTTCTTATTCATGGTTTTTTTTTTCCTTAAAAATTGATTTTAAAAAATCTGGTTATTTATCCCTCTCCATATAAGTGAAAATCTGTATGTATGCTCGTTAATAACTCGAGAACGGAAGCACCGGTTTGGATCATGTTTTATTATAGTTGGCAAATTTTCATGGTTGGTAAATTATCATCCCTCTCCGGCGGCATATAATTCGGCTGCAATGTCGAAAATACAAAATTCCATTGTTGAACCAGAGTTGGGCGTCGATTACAGTAATCGATTACCGCTTTAACTGATAACAGATAATTACTGCTATGTAATCGATTGCTTGTAATCGCGATTACAAGTAATCATGATTTCCGATTACATCATAGTCGGGAATCGATTACATTTTTCGATCACATTTCAAATTGATTGCATTTTTTAATCGATTACATTTTTTTAATCGATTTCAGTAGTCAATTACTAGTAATCATGATAACAAATTTTGATTACAACTGTAATCGTGACTAGAAAAATCAATTACAGTCATTAATTGCTTGTAATCATGATTACAAACACTAATAATTTTCATAACAACTGTAATCGAGAAAACTTAGCCGACTACGGTAATCAATTATTTGTAATTGTGATTACAATCAATCAAAATATATGATTACACACAATTTTGAATGCATGTAATTATGATTGCGAGTAATCTAAATATACGATTACAATACGATTATAGACCACTATACAATTATAATTTACTGTACAGATAGTATGATGCATTATATAATGATGCATTTTGTACGTATTTACATACAACGTATGTATGAATTAATGTAATTAAAGTGCATGCTTTACCTAACATATATATAAATAAGGCATATGTGGGTAAAAACATATTTACATACATTTCAGTTGCACATACATATACATACGTTCATATTGTATGTATAAAATATATATACAGTGCGGAAAAAAAAGAAAAAAAATGGGCCACCCGAATAACTTTTGATCTATAATGATCGGATCTTTACGTTCTATGACTCAATCTTAAAGGTTCGAAAGGGCAACCTCAAATATGCTAATTAATTAGTGCAGACGATATTTTAAGTTACGAGATTAGACATAAAAACGTACTTTCTCTGAACAAACACACATTTTTTTTCAACATATTAGGATCACTGCCGCAATCTGAGGAATATGGTACAGTTTGGTTAGGAAAGCGATCCAAAGTTTGAACCCTTTAATGTTAATTTTACTTTTTTTTTTGCATTCTGCCATATCACGAAAACCTTTTAGGCGAATTGAAAAAATTTTGCACACAATTATAAAAATCCTCTATCGAAACATAATTCCATGCAAAGAACAAATTTTAGCAAATACTTATTATTTTTTATTATTTTATTTAATAATTGACGAAAATTTTTGAATAGTAACATATGCAATTTTTTACGTCGTTTTAAAGTAGGTAATTTTGCATGCAAAGAAAATTTGAGTGAAATTGTTGAATAGGTCCTGAGAAATCGAATTTTAACTATGCGAATTTTTTAAAATTATACTTCTCAGGAACTATTCGACAGATTTTGCTCCCATTTCGCATATTTGGATAAACGAATTTATAAATGTGTGCGAAAATTTTTCAATTTGCTTAAAAATTTCTTGAGATATAGCAAAATACGCAGAAATTAAAAGTAACATTAAGGGGTCCAAACTCTCCTGATCAAACTATGGAAACCATATTTCCCTGATTGCAGCTGTCCCCTATATTTGGGGTGTCAGAAATCCAAATCCGTCGAAAAAGTACGTTGTCTCTGATTTCGTAACTTAAAATATCATCTGCACTAATTAATTTACATATTTGAGGTCACCTCCTCAAACCATTAAGAATGAGTCCTAGAACGTGAAGATCCTGTGATTAGATCAAAAGTTTTTTAGGGTGGTCCATTTTGTTTTGGCGCACAATACATATGCATATCGTACATATGTGCACATATATATTGAACATATATCTTTTGTACAAATTTGTACATGTGTACATACATGTTGGTTCAATGCATGTTATATGTATAATGTATTTATGTCCTATAAATGTATGTACATGTGTATGGATGTATGTCCATATGAACAATATATGCATGAGCAATGTATAAATGTATGTATACGTATGTGTACGTATATATGCAATGAATATATACTAGATATATTATACGTATGTACAATATGTGTTTATCCAATAAATGTACGTATATAAGTATACGTATACGTACAATATACGTATGTCTAAATATGTGTACAATGCAATAAATAAAATGTTTGTAAGTTAAGTATTATGACCTCTGATAACAACTCAAGCAAGTTAAAAGGCAAAATCAAAACACATTTAAATTCAGTCGTCAGCTTTAAATGTTCTATATAATTTCAAAATTATTTTAATAAAAAATAATTTTTAGGTATTTTCATAAAACGTTTGATTTTGCACATTTATTTTTTTTACAGCATAATGCATAGTTCATAGAAATTTTTAGAGGGCAAAAAAAAACATTTAACTTTATATGTAGAAATTATATTTAGGAAGTATTTAAAATAAAATTATCGTTTGCTTTCCAAAACATTAAGAGATCGAGTTTTATTTGTTTTGGAACAAATTTTAAAACGAACTTAAATAACTTATCTTCTATAAAGTTTTTTTTTAATATAAGTAAATATAAGAACTTATAAAAATATTAAAAACTTATAAAATGTTGTGTAAAGTTAAAGTAACATAGAAATAAATATTCATATTTATCTCAGTTAATTGTTAAATTGCAGAGATATAAGATGATAAATAGCAAACGATGTTTAGCAGCGCGAAAACGCATTTCCTTGATGGCTAAAGAATTTGACGTACATGCACAATGTATGTGCATATATACATTGTAAAACCATATATTTCTTGTACGGGCACGCATTTATGCATTACATGTAATTACGTATGGGTATACGTTGTATGTATAAATGTACATTGCCTGTGCATACAAACATTTTTCGTACACCCATACAAATAATGTATGTCCATACATGTAATCCTTGAGTACACCTATATATGTATTAACAAAGTATATAGATATATACGTACATACAAATGTATATACGTTGCGTGTACAAACCATATATGCAGTAATGCAGTACATGCAAACGTGCATGCATCCATACATATATACATATTGACAAAAGAGTATCTATAAACAACATTCTTGCATATATATTGCATATACATACGTACATTGTATATGCATATGTGACATTACCGTACATTCACACAATGTATGTACTTGTTAACATAAATGCATGTATAAATATATTCATTATATTCTTATACAACCTATTTATGTCTGTTGCGGACATACAAAACATTGCATTTACATACAAACTAACATACTTGCGTACATGCATTGCATATGCATAATTATGTACATACAATGTAGTATTATTACAAGTACAGATGAAATTTCTTGTAATCCAATATTTTGATTACAAGTAATTACACAATTACAGGTAATCACGCGTAACCATGATTACAGCTGTATTCAAAATTTTGGTAAGTTGCAATCACGATTACAAGAAATTAATTACTGTAATCGACTATTGTAATCACAGTTACAGCTGTAATCAATGTTTTAATTATAATAGAAAGTAATTGATTACTGTAATCTATATATGCAATCGATTACACTTCTCCCCAAATCTGGTTGAAGCCTATTGTGACAGATTAAACTTTAAATCTTTTAGGTGACTTCTTGGCACGGGGTTTTTTCTTATAGATTGATAATATTTCTTGGGTCATTTTATGATCTTTTCCCTCCAAGTTGAGTGGCTTGCATGAAATATTGAAGAGAAAAAAAGTATTTTTTCTTCAATATGCGTTTGTTACAAATTTGCACTGTCCTGAAAACAGTAACGGTACGTAATATTTAAAAAAATATTTCGAAAAATTTCAGGTTGAGGAAATCTTGAGAATAAAAAAATATCTAATTAAAGCTCGTTAAACTTCTAGTCTAAATGAGTAAGTAAAAAACGCATAGGGGAAACAAATATGCAAGCTGACATAAATTATAAAAAATGTAAGAATTACTGTGTGTAACCG